CGGGGGCCAAACTTAAAAATGAGGTGGTCGGGGCCAAAAGTATAAAAGTGGTTTTCCTTTATTATCATTTTATTTATATTTTTGTTTTTTGTCATGAGTTAGGTTATTAGTTTACTATAAGTTTGCATTCAACCAAAACAATGTAATGTAATTGAAGACTGATTACTATAATAAAAAATATAACCTTAACTTCTAATCAGTTTTTAATTTTAGTTAGAGTTTTAGAACAGGTCTAGATTATATAGTTGTCTTCCTGAGAGAATAAGCTTTAAAATGAAGTATAACATGCCATAGTATCCCATATCAAAGCTGCAAATTACTGTATAACGATAAGCCACTGAACATTGTCTTGCGTGTTGTATTCGTCCCATGGGTCTGGGTTTGACGCACCTGCTCTAACCTCCGCCTCTGACTCAAATGTCTGGACACCCCTGCTACATAACCCCGTGTGCATTACCCGATCGCTGCGGCTTCTCTCCTGAAACTCTGCCATATCTTTCCGTCTGCCTCCGTCTCTCTGTATCTTAACCCACGGCTCATTATCGGTGTTTTGATGTGTTCGGCTTCACTCAGGATCCAAACATCTGCTTTAGGATGTATTCTAATGGCCTTTCTCATGTGTCTGCGGTCCCTTTGATCCGCCGTCGCAGCCGCCTCTCAGATATTCAAATGGCGATGCGTTTATTTTTGTTTTGTGACAGACTTGACTATTAGCTGTTTTATTATTCTCTGTATATGTGTGTTTTTTTTCTAATGGAAGACAATTCTCGCGGCGCACGTTGGGCTGCTTTTGATTGAGGAGGTTAGAGCTGTTGTCAAAGCAGTTTAGCAGCGCGGCGCGGAGACTTTAGCAGCACGGCGCGGAGACAAAGGACGAATAAAGGATGAGTTATTTTGAAAGCGCCGATGAAACGATCGTGGCTCGTTACTGGATCTTTCAAAAGCATGAGCGCAATTAGGTTTGAAGATGAGCATCATTTATAAAGATACACATTTGTCCCACACATATACACACACACATACACACACACACAGGTGAAACTAGGAATATTACAATCAAAAGTGTATTTATTTCTTTAATTCAACTTAAACTTTGAAACCAAAACCCTTATTCCAACGGCCCTACTCTACTCTACCCTACTCCGGTGTGACCAGTACCAGGTCCTTCTTTAGTCCCTCTTGGTTCTATCCAGGCCGAGTTGGTACTAAAGTGTTCTGACTGACAGTGATTGGCCAGAGTGCTGTAGGGTAGGGTAGGGAAGGTTGGGGCGGCACGGTGGCTGAGTGGATAGCACTCTCGCCTCTCAGCAAGAAGGTCCTGGGTTGGAATCCCGGTCGGACCAGGGCCTTTCTGAGTGGAGTTTGCATGTTCACCCCGTGTCTGCGTAGGTTTCCTCCGTGTACTCCGGTTTCCCCTACCACTAAAAACATGTACAACAGGTCTGGCCTGTGCCTCCTGTACTGGCCCCGCTCCCGTCTCTGTGAGGAGCGAGAGACAAGTGCCCAAAAAAAACAAACGTAAACCGCTTTGAGACTCTGGTCTGTGAAAGGCGGTATATAAATAAAGATTACTTACTTACATACTAGAGTAGAGTAGAGAAACTGGGCTCAACATAGACTCGTTGTTTGTTAGAATATATCTTATCTTATATTTTGAATGGACTGTAAGCCATAATCATCAAATTTCTAATTGTTTTTGGAGATTTCACAGCTTTCTATTATCAACATTCTTACAAACAAAGGCTGGACATTTCACACTTTGAGTTCAACGTCATTCAGAAGTTTCACATTTTAAGTGGAATTACAGTAAATGGACTTTCACCTTTTTTATTAATGCAATGAGTTTTATTGAGTGCTTTTTTGGACGCAGTGGTGATAAACTACTACTGTAGCCACAGCTGCCCTGGGACACACTGTCAGAAGAGAGGCAGTGGTTGGTGGTGGTCGGAGAGGCCCGTGGCACAGACTGGTCTCTTCTACCTCTCTTCTGTCAGAGTGCCTCAGGGCAGCTCCGGCCACAGTTATAGCTGTTTAATGCAGTAGTGCACAAAGCTAGGAGACATTTTCTAAAGTTTTCATCATGTGACACATACAATATTCTTTAGTGAGCGGGAGGTTGGAGACCTCTGCTGCAGCCACTGCCTGAACACCCTCAACTCACAGCAGATGAAGTCCTCTTTTCCTATTTTTAACCTTTGAATACTCTGGAAACGACAGTGAGTTGTTGCTCTGAAACAGTTTCTTGCTTTTTTTTCTGGCTGTAAATGTTTCTGCAGTTCAGTGTTCATGGTTTTATACTGATCCAGACCAGAGCAGAGAGGATGGTCCCAACCAAACAGATCAAGCAGAAATCCACTGGAAGAATGACTTTTTTTTTGTTTTAATCGCTAAACAAGAATTCAGCATTTCACGCTGAACCAAAGCAGAGAAAATGGTCGGAACAAAACAGACTCTGTAAACACCAACCAGAGGAAGCCGCTCATCACCAGCGTCTGTGACCGAAATGACTTTGTTACTATTGTTAGTGACTTTTACAATCTTACATTTATTTAAAACAGTTGTTTTGCGCTTTACAATTGTTAATTTTCTTACTTTTTTCTGCCTAAGATGTTGCTGCAGTACAGTGTTCATGGTTTTACACTGGTCCAGACCAGAGCAGAGAGGATTCAGGGTTCGAACCAAGTGGGTCAGGAGAAAATCCACTGGAGGAATGCAAACTTTTTGAAAAATGCTAAAGAAGTATTTGGCATTTGACTCTGGAGCAGAGCAGAGAGAACCAAGCGGCTCCACCTCTGCTGCTGTGACCTGAAGAACTGTTTCTTATTATTATCAGTGTCAGCTTTTTAGAATGATCAATTTTGTTTTGTTTGTTTTTAAGGATTTGATTTTTCTGCTGGACACCTGAATTTCTCCTACGAGGATCTATAAAGTATCTATCTCTTCACCGTAGCCTGTGTTTTAGTTGTGTCTAAAGGGTCGAAAACAAATTGCGCAGGACAAGTGGAACAAAGTCATATTTATTTGCTGCTGTCGATATACGTGCTGAAAATGACCTGTCAGAGCCGCTGCACGTCGCGCCCGGATCTAAACATGTTTGAGAATCACATACTTGGATCCAACCCCCTCTCCCACCTGACAGCGCGTCGTATTTTTGGCTGTTTACTCTGCCTCCTCTGCGCCACTTCTAAGTAAAACGCTTTCAATCTCGGAGATAAAGAGAAATAAAGGCGCTTTCATGTTGTTTTATGTGACAAATACGTAGAAAGAGCGGAGGAGGAGATGACAGCGCTGTTGTTGCCGTGTTTTTCTACGGCAAAGATTGAAAAGTCAAAGCGACAATCACTCGAGAACTGTGTCGAACTGAGACCTGCGTGTGTGAGGCCCCGGGGTCAATGTCTTTACACGGGAAACAAACGCTTTCATAACAAGAAAAGTCAGACATTTTCAGTAAAAACATGATATTACTTACACCTACGATCGTCTGTTCCGGTGTTTCTCAACCAGTGGGCCTCGAGATGTGCCTTCAGAAGAATCTGTGAGCGATTGGTGCCATTGGTCCGGTCTTTTTGGACCAATGGCTTCTATGTGTTTGTCATAATTGCATTTCCTGTGATTTTCTGATCTCTTGTTTAGGAATTGACATCTTTTTTGAAGTCCTATGAGACGCCCCATTCCTAACCTTTACTCATCAATGTATTAATTATACACAAAACCAATTAAAGGTTTGGAGAGAGTCCCAGGAGAGTCCACAAAGACATCCAGGTAAAACTTTCACAATGCATGACATCAAAGTTAACCGTTTGGTCTTTGAACCTCCTCCTGGTCCTTCTTTGAGCCTCCTCCTGGTCCTTCTTTGAACCTCCTTCTGGTCCAGTCTTTGAACCTCCTCCTGGTCCAGTCTTTGAACCTCCTCCTAGTCCAGTCTTTGAGCCTCCTCCTGGTCCTTCTTTGAACCTCCTACTGGCCCTTTGAACCTCTTTCTGGAGCTTCTTTGAACCTCTTTCTGGTCCTTCTTTAAGCCTCCTTCTGGTCCTTCTCTGAACCTCATTCTAGTCCTTCTTTGAGCCTATTTCTGGTCCTTCTTTGAGCCTCCTTCTGGTCCTTCTTTGAGCTTCCTTCTGGTCCTTCTTTGAGACTCCTTCTGGTCCTTCTTTGAGCCTCCTTCTGGTCCCTTCCGAGCCTCCTTCTGATCCCTTCTGAGACTCCATTCGGTCCCTTTTGAGCCTCCTTCTGCTCCTTCTTTGAGCCTCCTTCTGGTCCTTCTTTGAGCCTCCTTCTGCTCCTTCTTTGAGCCTCTTTCTGCTCCTTCTTTGAGCCTCCTTCTGGTCCTTCTTTGAGCCTCCTTCTGGTCCTTCTTTGAGCCTCCTTCTGCTCCTTCTTTGAGACTCGTTCTGGTCCTTCTTTGAGCCTCCTTCTGGTCCCTTCCGAGCCTCCTTCTGGTCCCTTCTGAGACTCCTTCTGGTCCCTTTTGAGCCTCCTTCTGGTCCTTCTTTGAGCTTCCTTCTGGTCCTTCTTTGAGCCTCCTTCTGGTCCTTCTTTGAGCCTCCTTCTGGTCCTTCTTTGAGCCTCCTTCTGGTCCCTTTTGAGCCTCCTTCTGCTCCTTCTTTGAGCCTCCTTCTGGTCCTTCTTTGAGCCTCCTTCTGGTCCTTCTTTGAGCCTCTTTCTGCTCCTTCTTTGAGCCTCCTTCTGGTCCTTCTTTGAGCCTCCTTCTGGTCCTTCTTTGAGCCTCCTTCTGCTCCTTCTTTGAGACTCGTTCTGGTCCTTCTTTGAGCCTCCTTCTGGTCCCTTCCGAGCCTCCTTCTGGTCCCTTCTGAGACTCCTTCTGGTCCCTTTTGAGCCTCCTTCTGGTCCTTCTTTGAGCTTCCTTCTGGTCCTTCTTTGAGCTTCCTTCTGGTCCTTCTTTGAGCCTCCTTCTGGTCCTTCTTTGAGCCTCCTTCTGGTCCTTCTTTGAGCCTCCTTCTGGTCCCTTCTGAGCCTCCCTCTGGTCCTTCTGCGTGGCCTCAGCTCCGGTGGCAGATCTGGCAACACTCCAGGCAGAACTCGAGGAACTCTACGGGCTCGCAGCAGGACTGGACCAGCACCGAGTGGCAGTGTGTGTGGCAGTCCAGCTCCCCCAGCGGGACGTCCTGCACGGAGGAGCAGCAGCAGGAGCACACCTCCCCACAGCCCAGGCCCAGAGAGGAGAGACCAGAGGAGCAGGCGTCCAGGAGGCCCAGGAGCAGAGCCGAGCAGTGACAGAAGAGGCAGGACAGCAGCAGGTCCAGACACACATCTGCACACAACACAAGACCTTTATCAGCCTTAAAAAGTACTTACTTTAGTCATGTCCTGCACAACTGTCCAAATAAACATGGGAATTTTACTAAATGTTACGCAATAGACCTAGAATCTAGAGGCCTCAGACCCCCACACCACCTGGGAGCACCTTCAATCCTCGTTCTACAACCTTAGTCCTGGGTCTACAGCCTCGGCCCTGGTTCTGCAGCCTCAGTCCTGGGTCTGCAGCCTCAGTCCTGGGTCTACAGCCTCAGTCCTGGGTCTACAGCCTCAGTCCTGGGTCTACAGCCTCGGCCCTGGTTCTACAGCCTCAGTCCTGGGTCTACAGCCTCAGTCCTGGGTCTACAGCCTCAGTCCTGGGTCTACAGCCTCAGTTCTGGTTCTGCAGCCTCAGTCCTGGGTCTACAGCCTCAGTCCTGGTTCTGCAGCCTCAGTCCTGGGTCTACAGCCTCGGTCCTGGGTCTACAGCCTCAGTCCTGGGTCTACAGCCTCGGTCCTGGGTCTACAGCCTCAGTCCTGGGTCTACAGCCTCAGTCCTGGGTCTACAGCCTCAGTCCTGGATCTATTGCCTTTCCGCCTTCAGGAGCGGATCCCTCTCTCAATGTGGGCCTTCCAGAGGTTAATCCCTTTTTCCCATGGGTTTTTTGAGTCCTACATTGCCAATGCAGGGTCTAAGGACAGTGATGATTTAGGAGATGTATGAGCATTCATTAATATTTCTGGACAGTGGACATCCCACTCTATATTAACCAATGGTTCCTCTGAGTGTGTTGTTTGTTGTTGTTATTGCTCTGATCTGTTGTTGAGGAAATGACAACACCGTCCTCCTGACTGCTAATGTGATCAAGGCTATACAAACACACATTGAATTGAATAGATGCATTAAAGCAGAAATGCAGGTGCTATGATAACATAATTTCCAAATGAATCACAGACTTCTTGATTGTATCCGCTGCTTCCCTGGAACTTAAACTATTGTGTCTCTCACAAAGAGTTGTGCAGTAACACACCTTAAAACAAGATCCGAGCTCCCGTCTCTTTCATGCAGAAACACACTGTCAAAACGCTTCAAACGGCAGATTAACGACATGATTAACCCTCAATTAATCTCTCTCATGTTTATTTGTTGTTGCCGAAACACAACAGAGCTTTGTTGTAGTGATCAAAAGTGCTGGTGTTTACTTAATCACGGCTCGTTCCTCGGGGAGCGGAGAGAGGCCACAGATGCCACCAATCCTGCACCGCGTCCCGTCAGCTCATAATTGCACCAAATTAGCCGCGCCCGCGATTGCATGCATTAACCCCGGCGCTGTCTGCTAAAGTGCATGCTTTACAACTGTTTTCGGCGCATTGTTTTTCCCATTCGCTGGTTTTTCATCCCTGTATGAGCCAGAGGAGAGAGCTGAGCGCATGCAAATTCAGCTGTTTTATCCTGTTTACACAAAGGAAGTAAATGAAGGAAATGGCAGTATCCCCCGGGGAGTGGGGTCCAGCGGATTGGAGGATCCACCCCCTGGTGCACATAACGTATGCTAATGCCTCTGTGATAGATGAAAACACATTTATTATTATTATAGGATGTATTGATTTAATGCCCAACTTCACAGCGATAACAACAGGGACGCAGCCGTAAACAAGAGACAGGGACTCAGACTTTGATCAAACTAGCGCAAAGTTCAGCCTCAAAGTCCTCAAGATGCAAACTTTACAAAGACTTATTTGGTTAAAAAGACAGTAACGTGCGCTTGTTTACATTGGAAGAGGCCGTAGTTTAAAGGGGACGTATCTCAGCTTTTCTCGACTTGTCTTTAGATTCATTCAGGCGCGTTTGAGTATTTTTTCTTACACCTGAGAATCACAAACAAATCAATCCAATCTAACTTTCTTTGGCAAATCACAAAGAGAGGAGAGACTAAAAATAAGCAATTATCACTTGAATTCAGGAATCTTGTTTTGAGATTTGTCAATGTCTCCTGTCTTGCATCTTTCGGTCTTGATGTCGCGCAGAAGCATTATTTTCATAGTCACAGCATTTTTCCAGATTAGATTTTTAAGTATCCTTTTCCAACTGAGGGAAACATTTCCCTGACAACTGAGGGATTTTATGTTTTTATCTTTCTTTTTAATGTTCTGTGATTATTTATGATTTTAATGCTTTCTTGTTCAGCATTTTGAGTTGCCTTGTGTATGAATTGTACTATACAAATAAACTTGCCTTGCCTCCACTCCCTTGTCCTTACACTGACAGAGGCCCATGCACCTGTTCCATCCAGCACTTTATTTTTACCTCCTGATTGCTCTTCTGCAGTGAGTGCAGTGTCCAGTCGCAGTGACATGTTTACAGTTAGAGGCAGGTGGCTCTAAACCTGGACCTCTCACTGGTTTAATGTGAGTGCTGTTCTCACTCCTCTCTGAGTCCAGGACTTTTCTCCTCCACCAAAACCTGAGACGCATTTGCAGAGTTTTCTGTTTCACTCAAAATGATAATAAAATATGTGCAGATGTGAAACTCAAAGAAAACAATGTTATTTTAATTATTTTAATAATATGTCAAGAGAGAGAGAGCTACAGTGGGTCAATCTTAGTCAGGTGCTCGTCAGTATCAGCAGAGGCACTCTTGACAGAAAATAAAAAATCTTTCATGAACAGGGATTTAGGCATCAAGTTTCAGGCTCGTTCAGGGCGTGCGTTTGAACCACAGACTGTAAATATTAACAAACATAGTCACGCTTATCTTGTGCCACCACTTTCGCCGTCTATGGGCAGTTTCAAAATCCACAGAGGCAGGAAAATGTGAAAAAACACATTTGCGCATGCGTTAGCTGCACTAGCCCCATTCATTTAACGAGTGCATTCAAAAGTCCACAGCGGCTAAACTAGACTGGTCCAAAAACCATCCAGCATCTCGAACTTAGCGTTGGGCCAAGAGCTACTTTTGGACCGTACTATGAAGACGTTTTCTAGAGGAAAGAAGACTGCATACAAAAGCATAGGTAATTCTCTTTCCGGGTACACCCCCACCACCTGGGAGTGAGATTGCAGCCTGTCAGTAATTTTTTTTTTTTTTTTGATGCCACACTTTACTAAACAAATAATAATATTGTGAACTTTTGTGTAAAGTTTATGGATGAAGATACTGATCAATTACAAAGTTTTTGTTTAAAAAGGTAAAAAACTGATTTGAACTCTTTAGGCGTGAGTAGTAAGTCATCTTTCTTAAATAGTGCCGTTTACAAAGTGCTTTAACATTGTGTGCATTTGTCTCTTACTTCACACAGAGATGGGAGCACCCGCCTACAGGTGCCACATACCAGACCTATTGTACAGTAGGTCCCATTTCGTTTTGTCGCCTTTCACGCGTGAATCACACGAGACTCACGTGTGATTCATGCGTCTTTTATTTATTTTTTCCCCAGTGATGCTGCAATGACCCAAACAACCACCAGGAGGCACTTGTGAGCAGGGTTAGGAAAATTGGCTTCTCATCGGTCTTTGTTCTCTGTTCACCAGACAACTTTCTGTGGCTTTATAGCTCAATGATAAGGAGGTGGACTCTGGTGTGAGAGGACTCGGGTTCAAGTACAGTCTATGACACTTTTGATTTTGTTGACGTTTACATTTTTTCTAAAACATACTTAGTAATTAGGCCAACACATTTAAAATAGTTGCTAGACTGTAGTAAACTGTTGTAAACTTCACAATCTGCACCAACCAAACTGCAGGAAAAAAATTCAACTTTATTCAGTAACAGAGTAATCTGATGTTTTTAGTGGTAGGGGAAACCGAAGCACCCGGAGGAAACCTACACCGACACAGGGAGAACATGCAAACTACACCCAGAAAGGCCTGGAGATGGAATCAAACCCAGCGGCTAACCACTGCGCCCAAAAAGGTCTGAAATTTGAAACAGACAGAAGGTGGAACCCTGAGATAGACGACGACTAAAATCAATTACAGAAATACATAATAAATTAAAAACATGTAATAATATTGTAGGGAAACGTGTGTGTTGCCAGGTTCTAAAAAGTAAAAAGTAAATCAGACCGAAACTTTGAACAACATTTGGTCAGAGTATAGTCTTTACCTCCGGATGTGTTCACAGTCGGCTGGTTCAACGTGCTCTTGCTGCTGGCTTTGCTCTTCTTGCTGTGAGAGCTGTGGACTGTCAGACTGGACCCCCCCGGCCCCCTCAGACTCTGGGCCCCTGGGATCTTCAGACCGCACTGGGGGCAGCTCTGACTGGATTCAGGTCTCTGTGGTGTCTGGGGTCTCTGTGGTTCTTGTGGTGTCTGGGGTCTCTGTGGTTCTTGTGGTGTCTGGGGTCTCTGTGGTTCTTGTGGTCTCTGGGGTCTCAGTGGTTCTTGTGGTGTCTGGGGTCTCTGTGGTTCCTGTGGTCTCTGGGGTCTCTGTGGTTCTTGTGGTATCTGGGGTGTCTGTGGTTCTTGTGGTGTCTGGGGTCTCTGTGGTTCTTGTGGTGTCTGGGGTCTCTGTGGTTCCTGTGGTGTCTGGGGTCTCTGTGGTTCTTGTGGTGTCTGGGGTCTCTGTGGTTCCTGTGGTGTCTGGGGTCTCTGTGGTTCTTGTGGTGTCTGGGGTGTCTGTAGTTCTTGTGGTGTCTGGGGTCTCTGTGGTTCTTGTGGTCTCTGGGGTGTCTGTGGTTCTTGTGGTGTCTGAGGTCTCTGTGGTTCTTGGGGTCTCTGGGGTCTCAGTGGTCCCTGTGGTCTCTGTGGTTCCTGTGGTTCTTGTGGTCTCTGGGGTGTCTGTGGTTCTTGTGGTGTCTGGGGTCTCTGTGGTTCTTGTGGTGTCTGGGGTCTCTGTGGTTCTTGTGGTCTCTGGGGTGTCTGTGGTTCTTGTGGTCTCTGGGGTGTCTGTGGTTCTTGTGGTCTCTGGGGTCTCTGTGGTTCTTGTGGTCTCTGGGGTGTCTGTGGTTCTTGTGGTGTCTGGGGTCTCTGTGGTTCTTGTGGTGTCTGGGGTCTCTGTGGTTCCTGTGGTGTCTGTGGTTCCTGTGGTGTCTGGGGTCTCTGTGGTGTCTGGGGTCTCTGTGGTTCCTGTGGTGTCTGGGGTCTCTGTGGTCCCTGCGGTCTCTCAGGGTCCTCTGCGTCGGCCTCAGACTGGACCAGGGCAGCAGCAGGTTCAGGCTGAGCTACAGACACCAGAGGGAGCAGACAGTGAGGCATGTAGCTAGAGCATGGAACATAAATAATTACACTTTTTTAAAATCTAAAACATCTAAACCTGGTAAAGACCTATAGTAATCCTTTGACCTCTGTTATTGCCAACAAAGGTTATATTACAAAGTATTAAGTTGAATTTTTGTTATTGATCAAATACTTATTTTCCACCATAATTTACAAATAAATTCTTTAAAAATCTTAAAAATTTAAAAATGTGAATTCCTGGATTTCTTTTCACATTCTGTCTCTCACAGTTGAAGTGAACCTATGATGAACATTACAGACCTCTGTCATTATTTTAAGTGGGAGAACTTGCACAATCGGTGGCTGACTGAATACTTTTTTGCCCCACTGTACATAGGTATAGGAGGATTTTCTACTTCCGGGTGGATCATCGAGACTATTGGTCCTCCTTACTGTCAATCATTCTGGTGATACGTGCTCGTCAAATAAGACCAGAGAGTTTTGTTCAAAAAGTGGAGAGAAATTTGGGGAAATCCTCCTATATACCGTTAAGTAAGTAATCAGTATGATTTTGATGACCAATGTAATTAACATGAAGTCACAAACTAGGATTTTGCTTGCCTCATGGTGCAAACAAGTTATAATAGTATAGAAAGTACATCAATAATCTTTAGCTTTACAGCGCTTAACAGAGACCAAGGCCTTAAAGTGCTTCACAGTCACCGCACACAAAATACTGGTTTAAAATGTGTGAACAAAAATACTAATGAACTCTAGTTTTACAGGTATTTAAATCTCCCTTTGGATAATTCACTGTATAATCATGGATTTCTGTCAAAAAGGTTCAGAATCCTGTAATAATCGTAAATTCTCTTAATCACAGTAAGTCCCCTGTATAATAACATTCTGTATATTGTCTCTCTGCAGCTGTCATCATCATCTTCATCGTCATCATCATCATCATCATCATCATCTTCATCATCATCATCACTGAACTCACTGCAGATGAGGTCAGGGCCGATGGCATTTCCTCCGCAGACCGGGACAGGCCCAGGAAGTGGCTCTGGCTTTAAACTCCGGCCGCCTTCAAACGAATCAAAACAAAAGTGCACTCAGCAACAAACTGGGGACGGACTGACGCCTGAAATACTTCTGTTAGTGCTCGCTTTACTCACCAACGTTTATTTTAACACGGAAACTTCTAGTGTTTTATCATAACGCATAGTTCTCCTATCAGTGGGGCTTCTCTTAACTCTCTTAACAGTCTTAACTCTCTTAACTCGTTGACCGGGGATTACAGGAGAACAAAACTAGATAAAAACAAACTTATTTCTGCTGATGAAAGTAGACAGTCCGGTCTTTCAGAATCTGGTTCCATATTTCTCATAGTCACAGCACACAATATTCTGTGGGTCTTGAAAATCAGTGAATTCATCATAAACGGCTGGCAGTCAATGAAGACACATGACTTTAGCTCCAACATAAAGCAGATATTTTAACTCTTTCCATTGATTACATTTTGTTTACATGTGATTGTTTTGTCTCATCAAATGTGCTATTATTATTATCAAATTTTGCTATGTCCAAACTCAGGCCCAGGGGCAAATTGTGGCCCTCTGTGTTGTCTTTAAGGCCCTATGCTTTGCTAATACTAGGAATTATTCAATGCAATCATAAACATAGATTCTGTGTCATCGCCGCCAATAGAGACATCCTAAACCTAATTTAAAGCTCAGAAACCTTTAAATTCTGTCATTTCCTTTTGACTATACCCAATGTCTTTTTGAGTATGGCACCAAAATACACACATACTCTCATGTGGCCTGGCCTTATCCATCCGTACTCTCCGCTCAATCATCATGTCCTGCATGTAACGTCTGGGTCTGGTCCCTGTGTTTGCGATTACAATCGGTAGAATTCCATCCGACCAATCAGAGAGCACGGGAGGCGGGTGTTGTAGTTAGTTGTGGGTGATGTCAAGAGTTTGTGTCGAACAGGCAGGTTGTAGTTTGGCAATGGCAAAGAATGCGATAGTAAAGTAATCCGGTCTGGTTCTATCAAGAAATTGAAGCCAGAGCAAAAGGAATGTTTAGCAAATGTAATCGCTGCAAAGAATGTGGCGCTACTCCCCACGGGCTCTGTTAGCACCAAAGGAGATGGCTAGGCTAAATGCTAAAGCTAGGCTAATGCTCAATGCTAACAACACACTCGGGCTCATTACATACGTGACGTTAAACTCAGATCCAATCGTTTCAATCTGCAAAAGGAGTTAGCCCCTCCCACCTGTTCACGGAGTCAATGGAGCAAATCCAGACCTCAGTACGAAATGTAATATGTACTATGGTGTGGTACGACCAGGCTAACTCTCATGTGGTAGTAGTTTATTTTCTTCGGCCAATATGTACATTAGATCTCAGGTCATATGTTTTGAAAAATCGTATATACATTTTACATCAAGAAAAAAAAAGAACTAAAATGTGTTCATTAAGAATTTTTGTGCTAAATAATGCATGACTGAAATGGGTTTAGGCTGAAGTCGAGGCTACTCCTGCCTAACCCCTTTCACAATGTGACAATACGTCTAAAGATGACACATTATACAGTTTCTCACACACCAAGAAACCCATGAAGCTAATTATGATGTTGAACTTTTAGCTAGCTTCAGCTCTGTCAACTGTGAATCATCGTGGACGTGTCAAAACTCAATTAAATCTCTGAACAGCCTGAATCCCGTCAAAACAGTTTTACAAAAAGCCTCTGGACAAGTCCGGTGAACTAAAGTGGCCCTCTAAAAGAAAGAATTTGGACTATAAACATGGAATTTAAAATTAATACACAGTCATGCTAAGCTGTAATATCCCAAATCAAACCAAGACTAAATTCCATCTGGTGAAATGAAAGTCCCTTGCCTTGGCTTTGGCCGACCTGTGCCGTGATCCCATTGGTCGGTGAGTGTCGTCCTGGGACCATCTTCCAAGTTCATGGTCTTCTTTGATCTTTGCTTCTGTCGGTTCTGGTCCCAGTCCTGAGCTCAGACCCGGGATCCTGAGTCACGGCTCTGCTGACCCTGAGCTGGCCCTGGACTGTTGTTATGTTGTTTGATGACTGTTCTTCCTGCCCTCCCCTCCCTCACCTCCCCCCTCCCCTTTCTCCCCACCCTGCCCTCTCTCCCCTATCTCTCCTCTCCCTCCCCTCTCTCCACTCTCTCCCCTATCTCCACTCTCTCCTCTACTCTCCCTCTTCTCCCTCCCCTCTCTCTCCTCTCCCTCCCCTCTCTCCCCTCTCTCCTCTTTCTCCTCTCTCTCCCCTTTCTCCAATCCCCCTCTCTCTCCACTCTCTCTCCTCCCTCACCTCTCTCCCCTCTCTCGCTACTCTGTCCCCCTCCCTCCCCTCTCTTTCCTCTCTCTCTTCTCCGTCCCCCTCCCTCCCCTCTCTCTCTTTTCTCTCTGCTCTCCCTCCCCTCTCTCCCCTCTCTCCTCTTTCTCCTCTCTCTCCCCTTTCTCCAATCCCCCTCTCTCTCCACTCTCTCTCCTCCCTCACCTCTCTCCCCTCTCTCGCTACTCTGTCCCCCTCCCTCCCCTCTCTTTCCTCTCTCTCTTCTCCGTCCCCCTCCCTCCCCTCTCTCTCTTTTCTCTCTGCTCTCCCTCCCCTCTCTCCTCTTTCTCCTCTCTCTCTCCAACCCCCCCCCCCTCTCTCTCCACTCTCTCCTCTCCCTCCCCTCCCTCTCCTCCCTCACCTCTCTCCCCTCTCTCCCCTCTCTCCCCTCTCTCTCCTCTCTCTCCTCTACTTCCTCCCCTCCCTTCCACCCTCTCCCCTCTCTCTCTCCTCTACTCCGTCCCCTCCCTCCCCTCTCCCCCCTCTCCCGTCCCTCCCTCCCCTCCCTCTCCCCTCTCTCTCCCCTCTCTCTCACAGTTAACCAGTGATAAGTCCTGGCCTGGAGCGCCCTGTTGTCTGTCCCCTGACACATGCCCCATCAGAGTGTGAGGGGCAGAGCAAAGCATTCGGCCTTAAACACACAGAGACCAGAGACCGCACCATGTGACATCACAGAGGTCACCTGGTGCTCCACTCACATGGTAAGGAAACTTTATATCGTTTTTATTACCATTTCAAATATGTATCACATTTGGAGAGATGTATTACAAACAGAAGAGCCAAAGTGTTCGAGGGTTAGTATTAGAAGGAGGAGACCAGGGCCAGACCCAGACCCAGGACTCAGACCCAGGACTCAGACCCAGGACCCAGACCCAGGACCCAGACCCAGGACTCAGAGGGGCCGTGTCTCTCATCCGGGAACGTCTCAGGATTCCCCCAGATGAGCTGCAGGAAGTGTGTGAGGAGAGAGAAGAGAAAAGGTGCGACTGAAGGCAGGGATTTAAAGTGCTTGAGTGAAGAGTAAAGTTAAAGAGTTTGACTGCTGTGGTCCTGTCTCTGGTCCTCACCTGGTCCTATCACAGAGAGGGCCATGTCTATGGTCCCCCTCATGGTCCTATCACAGAGAGGGTCCTGTCTCTGGTCCTCACCTGGTCCTATCACAGAGAGGGCCATGTCTATGGTCCCCCTCATGGTCCTATCACAGAGAGGGTCCTGTCTCTGGTCCTCACCTGGTCCTATCACAGAGAGGGCCATGTCTATGGTCCCCCTCATGGTCCTATCACAGAGAGGGTCCTGTCTCTGGTCCTCACCTGGTCCTGTCACAGAGAAGGTCCTTTCTCTGGTCATCTGGAAGACTGTTCCAGATTTTTGCTGCCTAAACCTGAAACGCTGCCTACCTATATTTAGTCCTGCCTCTAGGACCAGCAGGAGGCCAATCCCTGTGCTCCTCAGAGTCTCAGCAGGAGGCCAATCCCTGTGCTCCTCAGAGTCTCAGCAGGAGGCCAATCCCTGTGCTCCTCAGAGTCTCAGCAGGAGGCCAATCCCTGTGCTCCTCAGAGTCTCAGCAGGAGGCCAATCCCTGTGCTCCTCAGAGTCTCAGCAGGAGGCCAGTCCCTGTGCTCCTCAGAGTCCCGGCAGGAGACCAGTCCCTGTGCTCCTCACAGTCTCAGCAGGAGACCAGTCCCTGTGCTCCTCAGAGTCCCGGCAGGAGACCAGTCCCTGTGCTCCTCAGAGTCTCAGCAGGAGACCAGTCCCTGTGCTCCTCACAGTCCCAGCAGGAGGCCAGTCCCTGTGCTCCTCACAGTCCCAGCAGGAGGCCAGTCCCTGTGCTCCTCACAGTCCCAGCAGGAGGCCAGTCCCTGTGCTCCTCAGTCTCAGTGCAGGGATGTGGTCTCTTGCAGACTATAGACTTAAACGACTCTTAAACTGCTTTTATTCCCTTGCTTCCGTTCCCTCGCTCACAGACAGAAGGCGTCACTCTGCCGCCGTTTCTCTAACACTGTTGACTGTCAAAACATCAGGATGAGAAACATGCCGTAGGTACACGTCACTTCAAAGCGGCGCGTCACTGACACCGCTGAAGCCGCACTAACGCAGCCCCATAAACAAGACAATCAGCAGAAGGCCTCGATTGGCTGTCTAATGCTCTGACAGCCAATCAAAACACACCAGAGCAACACAACGCTAAAGTCCTCATGAGTCGCACAATTACTGACATTAGTCACAACACGCGGCGAGGAGCTGGGCCCTTTGTTGTGCGTTTGGAAGTGACGCCCGCAGTCGCAGATCCGCTTTGGGCTGTCTGTCAGGGCGCAGCGGGGTGTCGTCGTGTGTAGAAGAAGAGCGGGAGGAGGGGCATGGGCGAGGGGGCGGGGCTAATGCGGCTGTCAATCACACCATACTGTAAGTACGTATAGGACTGAAATAGTTATTATTTATTTGTAGAGCGCCTTTGCGACACACAAGACACAAATCATCACTTTAAACTTAACATAAAACATAAACACAATTAAAATCACAGGTAATTAAAAACATTAAAACATCCAACGCTTGAATTCTGCGTCACAACGATAAGAAGAGCCGAGATCGAAGGACAGTGCCTCAGTTGGTAGAACTTTAGGCCCTGAAGGTTGTGGGTTCGAGCCCACCGTAAGACCCACTTCACAACTCCCACTGATGACTGCTGTCGTTGTGTCCTTGGGCAAGACACTTAACCCTACTTTGCCCAAAGCCCCAACTGAAAGATCTCAGCTCCTGTGGACTCACCACCTGCAGGAGGATCAGTGAGGGGCTGATGCTCTGTGGACAGGGTGCAGCTCTGACTGCCACCCCCCCGACCCAGAAATGGATTAAGGGGAAGAAAATGGATGGATGGATGGATGGGACGATACGCATTAATCAACACTGCTGTCAATGTGTCAGTATAAGCTAACGGCTAGTTTCTAACTGTGGTCCCAGAGGCAAAGTGCAAAATGGCAATATCAAAATAATTAGTTCAAACATTACTGTGGTTACAATCTTGATCGTCCAATAACCAGGTTCATAACGTACGTTTAAAAGAGTGTGTTGCTCTTTCGTGTTTGGACTGGTGCAGTGTTCCAGAACTGAACGGCGCGCACTGAGAAAGCTGATTGGCTAAAGGGAATTTTTGTCAGTGGGACGACAGTATTATTATTATGGAGCGACTTTGAGCCTTTGAGCCAGAAGGTTGTGGGTTCAAGCCCACCACAAGTCTTTCTCCACTGACTCCCACTGATGTCTGCTGTCGTTGTGTCCTTGGGCAAGACACTTCCCCCACATTAGAATGAGTCCAGTGTGGTGTGTGTGTGAATGGTTGGTGGTGGTCGGAGGGGTCAATGGCACAGAATGGTTGCCTTGCTTCTGTCACTGTGTCCCAGGGCAGCTGTGGCTACAGTAGTAGTTTATCACCACTGTGTTTGGAGAGAAAGAATAATGACATGTGAAGGGTCTTTGAGCGTCCAAAAAAGCGCTATAAAAAACCGATGCATTATTATTATTAATATTATTATTATTATTAGAGGCAGCAGATCTGGTGTTTCTGTTACTTCTGGTTAAGTGTCTTGGGCAAACCATCTGTGGACTCATCACCTCCCGGAGGATCAGGGAGGGACTGGTGCTGTGGGCATCGGGTGTAGCTCTGATCCCCTCCACCCCAAAAAGGACAAAAAGAACTATGAATGTTGTAGAAATTGAGTGATCCAGATGTCAGCTGCATAAATGTCTCCATGTATCTGTATCCTTAGAACCCTAATATGAAATAACACGATGGACTTGGACTCAGCAGTTTCCACTTTATCTCTTGTAGCAAAGTTCTTCCCTTTTTCCTTTTCAAAAAGCTGTAATAACAATATGTGAGGGTGGAGTAACTTTGTCCGATGAGGAAAAAACAAGACTGAACTCAGTGAAAAACATGTGAGAAATGATGGTTTAACCCAATTACCCAGAGAGAAGTCCATAATGTATATTTATCATTTTAGATGTAGATATGAACATTCTCCTCCCTCTCAACACAGACAACAGGGAGTTTAAAGAACATTTATTGAGACAGTGACACAAAGATAAACAGATACAAAAGACAGGTTTCATATTTCTGTCCACACACAGATGACGATAAATGTTTTATATTTTGATGTTTCAACTGAAGAATCTCCAAAAAACACTAAACACGTCTTAAAGGGGAAGTACGTAACATTTTCATTGTAATTACATCTATTTTTATACATATGTCCGATACAGATACAGTTGTGTTTGGCATTTTGTCGACTACAGTTTAAACCAGAGTTTCCATAATGTTTATAGTTTTCAAGCAGATTATCCAATCAGAACGCAGAATGAGTCTCTCTTTTGGGTTGCCAGTTAGTTAGGTGAAATTTAGCTGGTTTTGGCTCCATGTTTAGTTTTTTTTTTTTGGCAGTCCTGGGTCTGCCTTTGATTCCAGCTAACCTTTCTGTATACAGACTTTGCATGTTCTGTGACTGCTCCGGTTTCCTCCAGGTGCTCCGGTTTCCCCATACCTCTAAAAATATGTTGAACCGTCTCCCATAACTCCCTCCCTGTCCTCACCCATGTCCCCTCTCGCTCTCTCTTTGGGGCCTGGAAAATTACATTCTGACCTCTCTGTAGGACCGTCCTGTTTAAAAAAGGTCGATAATATTAAAATAACAAAATTCACCAAGGCCAAACAGCAGCACACATGTATTTGAATAAAAGTAGATCCAAAACTAGTAGTCAGACAGATTCTGGAAACACAGCACTAGATTAGACCCATAACAAATATATTACATACGCGGCCCCTTTAAGGTTGTCATTAGCAACCGCTCATGAAACCATAAATGACAGAACACACATAGTAAACACAGATGTGGCTTTAGTTACACAATACTGATGTTTATTTCATGTAAACTGTTTTTAACGTGGCTCATAAATACATCGTAGGAAAACACACAGAGGCAGGAGAGAAACTGTTCATCTCGGGATCAGTCCAGCTCAAACGAGTCCATCTCCGTCGTGCTCCGATGCTTTTCTGACAGAAGAGGCGTGTGCTCCGAGAGGGACCTGGAACAACACATGGTTTAGTTTAGTTTTTTATGTATTTTGAGTCCATCCTGTGTCCCTCTGGACTCACATGCGAGCACAGGATCCATGGCTGAGAATAATGAAAGAAAAGTTTCAAAAAGAGCAGTGTTAAACTTTAAGGTTAGACTTCTGTAACAGCCTAATGCAGGACACTCAAAACACTGCAGCTCCAGTCCTGACGAGAACCAGGAAGTACCATCACATTAGTCCTGACGAGAACCAGGAAGTACCATCACATTAGTCCTGACGAGAACCAGGAAGTACCATCACATTAGTCCTGACGAGAACCAGGAAGTACCATCACATTAGTCCTGACGAGAACCAGGAAGTACCATCACATTAGTCCTGACGAGAACCAGGAAGTACCATCACATTAGTCCTGACGAGAACCAGGAAGTACCATCACATTAGTCCTGACGAGAACCAGGAAGTACCATCACATTAGTCCTGACGAGAACCAGGAAGTACCATCACATTAGTCCTGACGAGAACCAGGAAGTACCATCACATTAGTCCTGACGAGAACCAGGAAGTACCATCACATTAGTCCTGACAAGAACCAGGAAGTACCATCACCATAGCCCTGGAGCGAACCAGGAAGTACCATCACATTAGTCCTGACGAGAACCAGGAAGTACCATCACATTAGTCCTGACGAGAACCAGGAAGTACCATCACATTAGTCCTGACGAAAACCAGGAAGTACCATCACATTAGTCCTGACGAGAACCAGGAAGTACCATCACATTAGTCCTGACAAGAACCAGGAAGTACCATCACCATAGCCCTGGAGCGAACCAGGAAGTACCATCACATTAGTCCGGGTTTCAGGTCTCTGCACTTGTGGCTCAGAGAGTCACTCTGAGGAGCACAGGGACTGGCCTCCTGCTGGGACTCTGAGGAGCACAGGGACTGGCCTCCTGCTGGGACTCTGAGGAGCACAGGGACTGGAGGCAGTGCACATTTGCAAAAGATAAAATGTTTTCCATAGGATGCAGAAGGCCTCTTGTGATCAGATTTGTTCACAGCATTTAACTATTACAAGACTTTCTGTCGTGAGGTGAAGTGAATGAACGACCCAACACGCAAGAATGCCAAAAATGATGATTTAATTAAGATTAAATAGACCACCGGAACCAGGAACACAGACAAACAAAGACGGAGAAAATACAATGGAGCAGCAACAAGAGGAGAGGAGCACAGGTACATATACACACACAGAGGAGAGGAGCACAGGTACATATACACACACAGAGGAGAGGAGCACAGGTACATATACACACACAGAGGAGAGGAGCACAGGTACATATACACACACAGAGGAGAGGAGCACAGGTACATATACACACACAGAGGAGAGGAGCACAGGTACATATACACACACAGAGGAGAGGAGCACAGGTACATATACACACACAGAGGAGAGGAGCACAGGTACATATACACGCACAGAGGAGAGGAGCACAGGTACATATACACGCACAGAGGAGAGGAGCACAGGTACATATACACACACAGAGGAGAGGAGCACAGGTACATATACACACACAGAGGAGAGGAGCACAGGTACATATACACGCACAGAGGAGAGGAGCACAGGTACATATACACACACAGAGGAGAGGAGCACAGGTACATATACACACACAGAGGAGAGGAGCACAGGTACATATACACGCACAGAGGAGAGGAGCACAGGTACATATACACGCACAGAGGAGAGGAGCACAGGTACATATACACACACAGAGGAGAGGAGCACAGGTACATATACACACACAGAGGAGAGGAGCACAGGTACATATACACGCACAGAGGAGAGGAGCACAGGTACATATACACGCACAGAGGAGAGGAGCACAGGTACATATACACGCACAGAGGAGAGGAGCACAGGTACATATACACGCACAGAGGAGAGGAGCACAGGTACATATACACACACAGAGGAGAGGAGCACAGGTACATATACACACACAGAGGAGAGGAGCACAGGTACATATACACGCACAGAGGAGAGGAGCACAGGTACATATACACACACAGAGGAGAGGAGCACAGGTACATATACACACACAGAGGAGAGGAGCACAGGTACATATACACACACAGAGGAGAGGAGCACAGGTACATATACACGCACAGAGGAGAGGAGCACAGGTACATATACACGCACAGAGGAGAGGAGCACAGGTACATATACACACACAGAGGAGAGGAGCACAGGTACATATACACACACAGAGGAGAGGAGCACAGGTACATATACACACACAGAGGAGAGGAGCACAGGTACATATACACACACAGAGGAGAGGAGCACAGGTACATATACACGCACAGAGGAGAGGAGCACAGGTACATATACACGCACAGAGGAGAGGAGCACAGGTACATATACACGCACAGAGGAGAGGAGCACAGGTACATATACACACACAGAGGAGAGGAGCACAGGTACATATACACACACAGAGGAGAGGAGCACAGGTACATATACACACACAGAGGAGAGGAGCACAGGTACATATACACACACAGAGGAGAGGAGCACAGGTACATATACACACACAGAGGAGAGGAGCACAGGTACATATACACACACAGAGGAGAGGAGCACAGGTACATATACACACACAGAGGAGAGGAGCACAGGTACATATACACACACAGAGGAGAGGAGCACAGGTACATATACACACACAGAGGAGAGGAGCACAGGTACATATACACACACAGAGGAGAGGAGCACAGGTACATATACACACACAGAGGAGAGGAGCACAGGTACATATACACACACAGAGGAGAGGAGCACAGGTACATATACACGCACAGAGGAGAGGAGCACAGGTACATATACACGCACAGAGGAGAGGAGCACAGGTACATATACACGCACAGAGGAGAGGAGCACAGGTACATATACACGCACAGAGGAGAGGAGCACAGGTACATATACACGCACAGAGGAGAGGAGCACAGGTACATATACACGCACAGAGGAGAGGAGCACAGGTACATATACACGCACAGAGGAGAGGAGCACAGGTACATATACACGCACAGAGGAGAGGAGCACAGGTACATATACACACACAGAGGAGAGGAGCACAGGTACATATACACGCACAGAGGAGAGGAGCACAGGTACATATACACGCACAGAGGAGAGGAGCACAGGTACATATACACACACAGAGGAGAGGAGCACAGGTACATATACACACACAGAGGAGAGGAGCACAGGTACATATACACACGTCAAACTAAAACAAAACCACAGAACTAAATCCAAATAGAATCCACGCCATGACACTTTGTTTCCGTTTGGACACAGAACAGACCGTCCACTCACTGTTGGACGTGTGCAGTTTTCTCGAGGCCAGTTTTCTCCGTCACGTTTCTCTTGTTTCTTTTCAGGAATCCCGTCTTCAGTCGGGCCACTTCAGCCAGAGCGCTCTGACAAACGAGAGGATTTACAGACCTGTGCTTTACTGACCCTGTGATTAAGACCTCACCTGTAGACTGCTGCTCAGAGGAGTCCCGAGGGCGCTCCTGCTCACAGAGGAGGTGCTGAGGAGGAGAGACAGGAGAGACACTGTCAGTCACACAGAGGTGATAATAACACGTTTTATTATCACATTTGACATACTTTTCATATAGAGTGTATCTTACAGTATATCTACACAGAACACAGAGATGCATTAAAAAAAGTACATTAAATTACATCAAATATTAAATGAATGATTGAGGAGGGAGTGGGAACCCATCGTTGTCCACTTCAGCTCCAGGACATTATTATGAATGAATGAATGTATTTGATCAGGGACAACACAAACCCTAACCCAGTCTAATAACAAGAAGATGTGTCATGTGCAGGTTTCAGCAAAAAAGTTCATTTCCTCCTGTAGTCCCTGGACATACAATACAGACAAAACACTACAAACATAGACACACACAGACACACACACTCTAACACACAAGATAGAAACTAAAGTAAAAACTGAAAATCTGTATATAGAAAATACTTTCTGAACCCTTCTTTGGTAAATAATTGTTTAAACTCGTGTACGTGTGTGTGCATATGTGTGTATATATGTGTGTCTGTGTGTGTGTTTGGACCCTGGTTTATACCCTGTGTATGTCTATATACACAGACACACACAAACACACTCGTTGTATGTGTGTATATGTGTATGTGTGTGTGTGTATGCGTGTGTGTGTGTAAGTGTATACATGTGTGTGTGCGTGTGTGTATATGCGTGTGTGTATGTGTGTTTGTATATGCATGTGTGTATGTGTGCATATGCATGTGTGTGTATATGTGTGTTTGTATATGTGTGTGTGTGTGTGTGTGCGTGTCTATGCATGTGTGTGTGTCTCTGTGTGTTTGAGTGTGTCTCTCTGCGTGTTTGTGTGTGTCTCTCTGTGTCTCTGTGCGTGTGTGTATGTGTGCACTTGTTTTCAACTCCTGGTGGGTTCCATAACCTGAGATTCCACTCACGTCATGGGGACTGGTTTTACGTGGTGGGGCCCGAACACCGGACCCCACTGGTCCAAGCTTAATAATCAATGGGTAATGCTTTTCTAACGGTCCTTATGCAGTCTCTGTAAAAATATGGAAAGGACCCCTGGAGGTTTACTTTCCTGAAAAAAGTGTGTTATGTGTCGGAACCCTGGTGGTGGGTTGCGGGATATCAAGGAGGGGCACACTGGGGCAATTTCAGTCCAGCAGGCTGGAGCCAATCATGGAGCAGCACAACAGAGGAAATCAGGTGTCAGGCTAGAAAAGGTGCAAGTGTGTGGTTCATTAGGCTGCAGCCAATCACAGAGCAGCACACTGAAGCGCACGCTTACAAACCACTGGTAAGTGCTGACTACAAGTCATGACTTCAAATTGTTATATAGAATGATTACAAATTATTTGTTGTTTGTGCAGCTTAGTCAAGAGTCCCTAATTGATGAAGTCGACTCAGATTCTGACGATTTAACTGTCAAGAAGAAACCTGTAAAAAAGTATGGAAAAAGAAAAATCAAAAACACTTTTCTTCAAGACTCGGAAAGTGACGAACCAAAGGCAAATAAGATTGTTATCATGCAGCTGCAAAAGAAGAAAAATGGGGGGCGAGTTTACAGCAAGAGACACTTCTGCCTCTACTGTTCAATGTCCTGCCACAAAATGTCCCGTCATTTGACTAGAAAACATGGAAATGAAAGTGACGTAGCCAGAGCATTGGCTCTACCTGTGAAATCTAAAGCACGTAAACTTCAGTTTGATTTGATCAGGAATAGTGGAAACCGTGAGCACAATTTTGAGGTTTTAAAGGCCGGCATTGGAACTTTAGTCCCAGCTAAACAGCCAAATTGCCCAGTTAAATCCAGTGAGTTTTTGCACTGTATAGACTGTGGGGCATTGCTTAAGCGAAAGTCGCTGTGGAGGCATGTGGCCAGGTGCCGGCTTTCACAGAAAGATGCCCAGGCTAAACCAGGTAGAAGTAGGGTCCAGTCCCTCTGCTCCCTAGCCCAGCCTGTACCGGAGGGCATCAGCAAAAAGCTGTGGTCTTTAATTTGGGCAATGCATCAGGATGAGGTCACGGGTGTTGTCAAAGCAGAAAAGGGGATTCTGAGACTCGGAGAGCACCTGTACTTAAAACACGGGCATGATAAGACTAAGCATGATTACATTAGGCAGAAAATGAGAGAAGTCGGTAGGTTAATTAACGAAGCAAAAACCGCAGGGAAACTGAAAACAATTAAGGATTTCTTTATTCCTTCCAACTTTAACCATGTGATTGATGCAGTCAGGTCTGTGGCTGGATATGATGAGGAAACAAATCAATACAAGACTCCATCCTTGGCCCTCAAACTCGGCCATAGCCTCAGAAAGCTAGCAGATATTCTTGAATGTGACTCAAAAATGGAGCATTGTGTTGATGAACTATTTATTAAAAACCTCCAACGAAGCCGGCTGCTTTTTGAGAAGAGGTGGGACGTCTGTGTTTCTTCTGCTGCCCTACAGACCCTCCGGCAAGCCAAGTGGAACACTCCGGACCTGCTCCCTCTGACTGAGGACGTTAGAGCCATGCATGCACATATTGAGGTATGTCGACCTGAATATGTGCAAACCCTAATAAGTGAGCCAACGTCTAAGCATTGGTCTTAACTGGCAGTTTTGACTCTTTGTGAGGTCATTATTTTCAATCGAAGAAGGGAAGGTGAGGTTTCAAAGATGCCACTGACAGCCTTTACCTTAAGAAGTAAGACTGGGATCCATTCTGACATTGCTCTGGGACTGTCCCAACTTGAGAAAAAGCTGTGTCAGCATTTTCAACGCATTGAAATTAAAGGGAAAAGAAGTCGGAAAGTGCCGGTTCTTTTGACTCCTGAAATGATTGCTTCGATGGAGGTGCTGGTGGAGAACAGAAGGGCCTGTTCCATCTCTGACCATAACCCATACTTCTTCTCCCGCCCGGGCGCAGACACCCACATCAGGGGATCAGACTCCCTACGGCAGGTAGCCAAAGAATGTGGTGCGGTGCATCCAGAGATGCTATCCTCAACCAAACTTAGAAAGCACATAGCTACTATGTCTACAGTTCTCAATATGAAAGAGAATGAGATGGACATACTTGCCAACTTCCTCGGCCATGACATTCGCATCCACAGACAATATTACAGACTACCAGAGGGGACACTGGAGCTGGCCAAAATCAGCAAAGTGTTGATGGCCATGGAGCAGGGAAGAGTGACGGAATTCGAAGGAAAGAGCCTCGACCAGATACAAATTGAGCCTGAAGGTAATTCTTGATATTATTAAAATATGTATGATTTTTTTCCCCTAAAGGCCACTTGTATTTTTATTTTCTGTGCGACAGGGAGAGCAGTAGAGATCCTCTCACAAACGGACGGGCTAAAAGAAACTTCAAGCGGAGAACCTTCAACCATTCATCCAGATGCACCCCATGGTAGTGGCAGTGCCCCTTCTGGTAAGTGTACCAGGTGGGGGATTACAGCCAGGCTGCTTGGTCCTAACCCTGGGAGTGTATATTGCTAATATATTTTTATTTCTCTCCCTAGAACGTGTAAGAAAGCCATGGTCTGCATCTGAGGTGAAGGCTGTGGAGAAGACCATGACACCTTTCATACAGACTGGAAAGGTCCCTGGGAAGTCTCACTGCCTGGCCTGCATTAATGCCTCACCAGATGACCTTAGACATCGGACATGGAGTGGCATTAAATTCTATGTCAAAAATAGAATCACTGCAATTCGAAAACAAAATCTAAAATAAAATTCCTTTAAAATAGTTGTTTGGTTTCTATTGACTGTTTTGTATTACTTAAAGTAGTCCCAGTAAAAAAAGATTATGTCTATGGGTCCCATTCTGAACGGCCCTGTCAAAGGGACCCACCAGGTAACAAAAACGTGTATGTGTGTGTGTGTGTGTGTGTGTGTCTGTGTGTGTGTGTGTGTTACCCTGTGATCTTCTGGGACCTCCTCCTCTGGTACTCGCTCTCGTCCACAGTCCACACGGCTCCTTTCACGTTCTCAACACGAACAAAACATTTGTGCAGACTCAGGTTGTGTCGCACTGCGTTCTGAAACACACACACACACACACACAGTCAAACTACCACCAGACATCACCCCACGATTCTGACGACAAGGAAACTAATAGTGGCTTTGATCAGGACCAAATAAAAGTGATTTTCATTGAGGAAAGTTAAAGAAGCAGTCTGTGAACATGTGGCCAAAAGTGGTACTGCAGCCTGTCCCACTCTCCCTGACTCAGGTTGCCAGATATGCAGACGAATCCAGCTGGGACCATAACAGCTGAATAGACAAGGTCACTGTTGGTGGCAGAGCATTTAGCTACCAAGCTCCTTTACTGTGGAATCAGCTTCCCATTTATGTTAAGGAAGCAGATACGGTCTCCACATTCAAGGCCAGGCTTAAAGCACTTTACTTTAATTTAGCATATAATTAGGTAATATATAATATGTAGTGTATATATATATATATATGCTGTATTATGTTATATATTATGTTAAAGTCAGTGTGTGTCTCAGTGCAGGGAGTTACTCTGTGGACCACCTTAAAGTCAGTGTGTGTCTCAGTGCAGGAGGATTTACTCTGTGGACCACCTTAAAGTCAGTGTGTGTCTCAGTGCGAGGAGGGACTCTGTGGACCACCTTAAGTCAGTCAGTGTGTGTCTCAGTGCAGGGAGTTACTCTGTGGACCACCTTAAAGTCAGTGTGTGTGTCTCAGTGTGAGGTTACTCTGTGGACCACCTTAAAGTCAGTGTGGTACTCAGTGCAGGTCTCAGTGCAAGGAGTTACTCTGTGGACCACCTTAACGTCAGTGTGTGTCTCAGTGCGAGGAGGGACTCTGTGGACCACCTTAAAGTCAGTGTGTGTCTCAGTGCGAGGAGGGACTCTGTGGACCACCTTAAAGTCAGTGTGTGTCTCAGTGCGAGGAGTTACTCTGTGGACCACCTTAAAGTCAGTGTGTGTCTCAGTGCAGGGAGTTACTCTGTGGACCACCTTAAAGTCAGTGTGTGTCTCAGTGCAAGGAGTTACTCTGTGGACCACCTTAAAGTCAGTGTGTGTCTCAGTGCAGGGAGTTACTCTGTGGACCACCTTAAAGTCAGTGTGTGTCTCAGTGCGAGGAGGGACTCTGTGGACCACCTTAAAGTCAGTGTGTGTCTCAGTGCGAGGAGGGACTCTGTGGACCACCTTAAAGTCAGTGTGTGTCTCAGTGCGAGGAGGGACTCTGTGGACCACCTTAAAGTCAGTGTGTGTCTCAGTGCAGGGAGTTACTCTGTGGACCACCTTAAAGTCAGTGTGTGTCTCAGTGCGAGGAGTTACTCTGTGGACCACCTTAAAGTCAGTGTGTGTCTCAGTGTGAGGAGTTACTCTGTGGACCACCTTAAAGTCAGTGTGTGTCTCAGTGCGAGGAGTTACTCTGTGGACCACCTTAAAGTCAGTGTGTGTCTCAGTGCAGGGAGTTACTCTGTGGACCACCTTAAAGTCAGTGTGTGTCTCAGTGTGAGGAGGGACTCTGTGGACCACCTTAAAGTCAGTGTGTGTCTCAGTGCAGGGAGTTACTCTGTGGACCACCTTAAAGTCAGTGTGTGTCTAAGTGCAGGGAATTACTCTGTGGACCACCTTAAAGTCAGTGTGTGTCTCAGTGCGAGGAGTTACTCTGTGGACCACCTTAAAGTCAGTGTGTGTCTCAGTGCGAGGAGGGACTCTGTGGACCACCTTAAAGTCAGTGTGTGTCTCAGTGCGAGGAGTTACTCTGTGGACCACCTTAAAGTCAGTGTGTGTCTCAGTGCGAGGAGTTACTCTGTGGACCACCTTAAAGTCAGTGTGTGTCTCAGTGCAGGGAGTTACTCTGTGGACCACCTTAAAGTCAGTGTGTGTCTCAGTGTGAGGAGGGACTCTGTGGACCACCTTAAAGTCAGTGTGTGTCTCAGTGCAGGGAGTTACTCTGTGGACCACCTTAAAGTCAGTGTGTGTCTAAGTGCAGGGAATTACTCTGTGGACCACCTTAAAGTCAGTGTGTGTCTCAGTGCGAGGAGGGACTCTGTGGACCACCTTAAAGTCAGTGTGTGTCTCAGTGCGAGGAGTTACTCTGTGGACCACCTTAAAGTCAGTGTGTGTCTCAGTGCGAGGAGGGACTCTGTGGACCACCTTAAAGCCAGTGTGTGTCTCAGTGCAGGGAGTTACTCTGTGGACCACCTTAAAGTCAGTGTGTGTCTCAGTGCAGGGAGTTACTCTGTGGACCACCTTAAAGTCAGTGTGTGTCTCAGTGCAAGGAGTTACTCTGTGGACCACCTTAAAGTCAGTGTGTGTCTCAGTGCGAGGAGGGACTCTGTGGACCACCTTAAAGCCAGTGTGTGTCTCAGTGCGAGGAGTTACTCTGTGGACCACCTTCATGGATGAACTTAACATTTTTAAAAATCTGATTAAATTTAAAGTTTTGTTTAAAAAAAGAGGTTCTAAAGAAATACAAAGAGAGTGATGCCCTCAGCACAGAGCGAGTGATGGGAGAGAGGGGTGGGGTCAGAGTGTGTGTGTGTGTGTGTTTGTGTGTGTGTCTGTGTGTCTGTGAACATATGTCTGAACATTTGTAAAAAAATAAAAATAAAAAGAGTGTTTCCTGTACAGGTTTTGAAATAAATATTTCAATTCAATTAAGCTCAAGATGTCTTTATAAAATCAATTTAATGTGTTTGTAAATTGCCCTAAATCACAGCCGCGGTCGTCTCGGAGGACTTTACAAAGTTGTGGATTTGTCAACAACAGATCAGAGAATGGGGCGACAGTAGCTCAGTTGGTAGAGCATTGGCCTTTGAGCCTGAAGGTCGTGGGTTCAAGCCCACCATAAGACCTACTTCACGACTCCCATTGATGACTGCTGTCGTTGTGTCCTTGGGCAAGACACTTAACCCCACTTTGCCCGAAGCCCCCACTGAAAGCTCTCAGCTCCTGTGGACTCACCACCTGCAGGAGGATCAGTGAGAGGCTGGTGCTCTGTGGACAGGGTGTAGCTCTGACTGACACCCCCGACCCAGAAATGGATTAAGGGGAAGAAAATGGATGGATGGATGGAGATCAGAGAATCAAACAATCGAATGCAGGTGAATGCAATGAAAACAAACGCTCAGGGGCCGTTGGTCCAGAGGGAGCGGGGCCACGGCTGCCCAGGACTGAGGCTGTAGATCCAGGACTGAGGCTGTAGATCCAGGACTGAGGCTGTAGATCCAGGACTGAGGCTGTAGACCCAGGACTGAGGCTGTAGACCCGGGACTGAGGCTGTAGACCCAGGACTGAGGCTGTAGACCCAGGACTGAGGCTGTAGACCCAGGACTGAGGCTGTAGACCCGGGACTGAGGCTGTAGACCCAGGACTGAGGCTGTAGATCCAGGACTGAGGCTGTAGACCCAGGACTGAGGCTGTAGACCCGGGACTGAGGCTGTAGACCCAGGACTGAGGCTGTAGATCCAGGACTGAGGTCTGTAGACCCAGGACTGAGACTGTAGATCCAGGACTGAGGCTGTAGACCCAGGACTGAGGCTGTAGATCCAGGACTGCTGTTGAGGGACTCCAGGACTGGTATTATTCAGGGCTATACAAAAATAAACCGAATAGAATCGAATTGAACACAGTTAGTTGAAAAATTGGGACCCAAACTTTGAACCATTGAAATGTACTTGTTGTTGTTTTGATAAATGAGACAGAGTTTTACAAATTGAGGACAACATAGCGGTAATCTTTAGTAGAACCACTCTTCGTCTTCGTCTTTCCCTCAGAATCTTCCTGTAAAACATGCGTCTGATATTAAAGGGTAGTCTCTCCCACACAACAAAGACATGATAAATATCAAAATCTCCCCGTCCCTGGACCTGGGCCTGGGCCTGGACCTGAGCCTGGACCTGGGCCTGTCCCTGGGCCTGGGCCTGGGCCTGGACCTGAGCCTGGACCTGGGCCTGGGCCTGGACCTGGGCCTGGGCCTGTCCCTGGGCCTGGTGCCGGTGGGACTCGCTTCTCTTCTCTAAAGCGTGATAAGTGAGTCTGAGCTTTTTAAGGCTTTTCTTGGCGTCTATAATGAAGCGTCGGTGTCAGAACGCCTCTGAATCCTGGAGTGTGATTTCAGACCTGAGAAACACAATAACAGCCGCTGAGAGGAAGCTTCACAAACCAGAAAAGACTCACAAAAAGAATTTAAAATGAGAAAGAGGCGACGGAGAGAGGCTAATGTCGTTTCGCAGTTAGCGGCGTTAGCGAGCGGAGCTGGTGCTATGTCACTGTGTTTTTAGAGATGTAGAAAGGATTTGGTTTGATGGACTTTACTTTTATGACGAGCCAGATCTGGGATTTGTGGCTGTATGAGTAGAAATACAGGCAAACCTTGATTATAAACTAGTGCTAATAGTACAAATAAATATTTAGATTTTATTATTTACATAGAGCCGATGGTTCATAAGGAGCCAGGACTGAGGTTGTAGACCCAGGACTGAGGCTGTAGACCCAGGACTGAGGCCGTTCTGTTTGAGAACATTTCTAAACATATGTTCTAAAGTCAACATAATGAGATGTTCAGAAGTAGCTCACTGTCATCGTGTCCTGACAGTCTGAAAACAACACATAGTTTGGATCTAAATAAATCTGTGTGACTGGCCTCCCAGCAGGAGACCAGTCCCTGTGCTCCTCAGAGTCCCAGCAGGAGACCAGTCCCTGTGCTCCTCAGAGTCCCAGCAGGAGACCAGTCCCTGTGCTCCTCAGAGTCCCAGCAGGAGGCCAGTCCCTGTGCTCCTCAGAGTCCCAGCAGGAGGCCAGTCCCTGTGCTCCTCAGAGTCCCAGCAGGAGTCCAGTCCCTGTGCTCCTCAGAGTCCCAGCAGGAGTCCAGTCCCTGTGCTCCTCAGAGTCCCAGCAGGAGGCCAGTCCCTGTGCTCCTCAGAGTCCGGGCTGGTTCATATGGGACTAACATGTCACTAATATATTTTGGTGCGAGGCCATGGAGAGACTTGTAACAAGCAAAGCTGTTTTAAAGTCTATTCTCTGAGCCACAGGAAGCCAGTGCAGAGACCTGAGGACTGGACTAATGTGGTCGTACTTCCTGGTTCTAGTCAGGACTAATGTGGTCGTACTTCCTGGTTCTAGTCAGGACTCGAGCTGCTGCATTTTGAATGTACTGCAGCTGTTTTTGAGAGAGAGGAGAGAGAGAGAGGAGAGAGAGAGAGGAGAGAGAGAGAGGAGAGAGAGAAAGAGAGAGAGAGGAGAGAGAGAGAGGAGACAAAACAAGATACAAGCGAGACAAAAAAAAACAGAGAAACAGGTACAAGAGAGAGAGACAAAGACAGAGTGATTATGTTATTATTCAGAGAGAGTTTTCTGGTATTAACAGGCGTACAGTTCTATCAGGTTCCACAACACGCCTGTTACACACATGTGACACGCTTGTGACACGCATGTGACACGCATGTAATCGTGCGGAGATGATGTCTCGGGTCACAGCACGACCAGAACCTGAGACGTCCTGAACATCTGTGTCTCTGACCCGGTGTTCACTTATGTACAGAACACACACAGATTTAATGTTGTCGTTCAGCCAAAGGGAAAAGTGTGTGTGTCTGTGAGAGACTGATGTGTGTGTTTCTATGGGAGACTGATGTGTGTGTGTGTGTGAGTGTGTGTGTCTATGGGAGACTGATCTGTGTGTGCGTGTGTGTGTCTGTGAGAGACTGATGTGAGTGTGAGCGTGTGTGTGTCTATGGGAGACTGATCTGTGTGTGTGAGTGTGTGTGTCTATGGGAGACTGGTGTGTGTGTGTGAGTGTGTGTGTCTATGGGAGACTGGTGTGTGTGTGTGAGTGTGTGTGTCTATGGGAGACTGGTGTGTGTGTGAGTGTGTCTGTCTATGGGAGACTGGTGTGTGTGTGAGTGTGTGTGTCTATGGGAGACTGATGTGTGTGTCTGTGGGACTGGGGTCCACACATTGGCCCTCATTTATGAAAGTTGCTCAGAAAAGGGTGTATATTTTTTGTGTATATTCCATTTACGCCAGACTCAACGCGAGATTCATGAACGTGTGAGATCCGCACAGATCTGAGCGTACGCAGCCGCGGCTGTTGATACATGCCGCGCTCAAAACCAGCGTATTTATGAAAGTTACACCTAGAAATATTCAGGAAACTCCCTGTTTTTACGACCGGTCAGTGTGGAAGTCGGCCACCCTCAGAAGGCCAGTTACAGACACGCTCTGAGTTTATATTGAGTTTTATTGGATTATTTTGTGGGAAAAAGCCCCCCGCTATATTATATATACGTGTTCTTTCTCATCACTCCTGAACTTTAGAAATGAATGAATGAATGAATATTAATATCTCAGCGGTGATTCTCGTCTGGGTCAAGCGTCAGCGACTTCTTCTTGTGAATGCACTGGAGCGATCTCTGTGAGAGAGAGAGAGGATGTGTATGAGTCCGTGATATCACAGAAAAACTCCAAAACGTCTGAATGACGCGCACCACATACGGCGAGTGCGGCGGGACGTCTGTGGCCCCTGCTGCGCACTGTCCCAGAGCCACTGCCCCAGAGCCACTGCCCCAGAGCCACTGTCCCAGAGCCACTGTCCCAGAGCCACTGCCCCAGAGCCACTGCCCCAGAGCCACAGCCCCAGAGCCACTGCCCCAGAGCCACTGTCCCAGAGCCACTGTCCCAGAGCCACTGTCCCAGAGCCACTGCCCCAGAGCCACTGTCCCAGAGCCACTGTCCCAGAGCCACTGTCCCAGAGCCACAGCCCCAGAGCCACAGCCCCAGAGCCACTGCCCCAGAGCCACAGCCCCAGAGCCACTGTCCCAGAGCCACTGCCCCAGAGCCACTGTCCCAGAGCCACAGCCCCAGAGCCACTGTCCCAGAGCCACTGTCCCAGAGCCACTGCCCCAGAGCCACTGTCCCAGAGCCACTGTCCCAGAGCCACAGCCCCAGAGCCACTGTCCCAGAGCCACTGCCCCAGAGCCACTGTCCCAGAGCCACTGTCCCAGAGCCACTGCCCCAGAGCCACTGCCCCAGAGCCACTGTCCCAGAGCCACTGCCCCAGAGCCACTGTCCCAGAGCCACTGTCCCAGAGCCACTGTCCCAGAGCCACTGTCCCAGAGCCACTGCCCCAGAACCACTGTCCCAGAGCCACTGTCCCAGAGCCACTGTCCCAGAGCCACTGTCCCAGAGCCACTGCCCCAGAACCACTGTCCCAGAGCCACTGTCCCAGAGCCACTGTCCCAGAGCCACTGTCCCAGAGCCACTGTCCCAGAGCCACTGTCCCAGAGCCACAGCCCCAGAGCCACAGCCCCAGAGCCACAGCCCCAGAGCCACTGCCCCAGAGCCACTGCCCCAGAGCCACTGCCCCAGAGCCACAGCCCCAGAGCCACAGCCCCAGAGCCACTGCCCCAGAGCCACTGTCCCAGAGTCACTGTCCCAGAGCCACTGTCCCAGAGCCACTGTCCCAGAGCCACAGCCCCAGAGCCACTGCTCCAGAGCCACTGCCCCAGAGCCACTAACCGTTCCCACAGAGCTTTGCTATATCTTTGCCATCGCTGTGTTTATGAGGTTTATGCACAAAACTAATGAAGAAACAAATTTCTTTGCCAAAGGTGAATGAGACAAAATAAACAGCCGTGTGCAGGGGCTGCCACAGACTTACACATTACACACACATTAAGTAAGAAAGTAAACCAGGTGTACTGTCACAGAGCAGGATCACAAAGGGCTTCACACAACAGCGAAAAAATGAAAATGAAAATAATACACAGTCAGATTTTAAATCAACAGAAGAGGCTTCTCAGCATGAACTGGGATTTATTTGAAGTTTGTGTGTTTCCAGAGTGTTCAACTTTTTCTGATGCGCAAATTCAAATTTAGAATCATGCTCCATGAAAACTAAGTTTATAATATTTCCAGAGTGGAACATGTTTATTGTTTCATGCGTGTTTTTGGCGTGTTGTGATGAGGGTTGAAATGGGCGTACACATTTACACCACCTCCTGACCCGGTGTGTGTTCTGTACCGTTCACTCACGTCCAGACTGATAAATGCTGAAAAGTGTATATTTTCTGCGTACGCCTCAATTACCCTGATGTCATACCTGAGGCCCACTGTCACTATGATTGTATTATTATCATTATTGTATTGTATTATTATTATTATTGTATGTATTATTATTATTATTACTATGATCATTATTGTTATTAATGTTATTAATTTGAATGTTGTGGCAGGTTTTGTGACATGTTAATATTCCTCCTGTAATCACTCCAAATGTGTTTTATGTTTCTATAAACAGATCAGACACTTTTGGTGTTTTTGTTCCAGTGTGTTTGTGCATGTTGTTGTGTGAGTGTTGTTGTGTGTGTGAGTGTTGTTGTGTGTGTGAGTGTTGTTGTGTGTGTGAGTGTTGTTGTGTGTGTGAGTGTTGTTGTGTGTGTGAGTGTTGTTGTGTGTGTGAGTGTTGTGTGTGTGAGTGTTGTTGTGTGTGTGAGTGTTGTTGTGTGTGTGAGTGTTGTTGTGTGTGTGAGTGTTGTTGTGTGTGTGAGTGTTGTTGTGTGTGTGAGTGTTGTTGTGTGTGTGAGTGTTGTTGTGTGTGTGAGTGTTGTTGTGTGTGTGAGTGTTGTTGTGTGTGTGAGTGTTGTGTGTGAGTGTTGTTGTGTGTGTGAGTGTTGTTGTGTGTGTGAGTGTTGTGTGTGTGAGTGTTGTTGTGTGTGTGAGTGTTGTGTGTGGGAGTGTTGTTGTGTGTGTGAGTGTTGTGTGTGTGAGTGTTGTTGTGTGTGTGAGTGTTGTGTGTGAGTGTTGTTGTGTGTGTGAGTGTTGTTGTGTGTTTGAGTGTGTTGTTGTGTGTGTGAGTGTTGTTGTGTGTGTGAGTGTTGTGTGTGTGAGTGTTGTTGTGTGTGTGAGTTTTGTCGTGTGTGTGAATGTTGTGTGTGTGTGTGAGTGTTGTGTGTGAGTGTTGTTGTGTGTGTGAGTGTTGTGTGTGAGTGTGTTGTGTGTGAGTGTTGTGTGTGTGTGAGTGTTGTGTGTGTGTGAGTGTTGTGTGTGTGAGTGTTGTGTGTGTGAGTGTTGTTGTGTGTGTGAGTGTTGTCGTGTGCCTGTGTGTTGTTGTGTGTGTGTGTGAGTGTTGTTGTGTGTGTGTGAGTGTTGTCGTGTGTGTGAGTGTTGTTGTATGTGTGAGTGTTGTGTGTGTGAGTGTTGTTGTGTGTGTGCATGTTGTTGTGTCTGTGAGTGTTGTTGTGTGTGTGAGTGTTGTTGTGTGTGTGAGTGTTGTGTGTGAGTGTTGTCGTGTGTGTGAGTGTTGTCGTGTGTGTGAGTGTTGTTGTGTGTGTGTGTGAGTGTTGTTGTGTGTGTGAGTGTTGTCGTGTGTGTGAGTGTTGTCGTGTGTGTGAGTGTTGTTGTGTGTGTGAGTGTTGTGTGTGTGAGTGTTGCTGTGTGTGATTGTTGTTGTGTGTGTGTGAGTGTTGTCGTGTGCCTCTGTGTTGTTGTGTGTGTGAGTGTTGTCGTGTGTGTGAGTGTTGTTGTATGTGTGAGTGTTGTGTGTGTGAGTGTTGTTGTGTGTGTGTGCATGTTGTTGTGTCTGTGAGTGTTGTTGTGTGTGTGAGTGTTGTTGTGTGTGTGAGTGTTGTGTGTGAGTGTTGTCGTGTGTGTGAGTGTTGTCGTGTGTGTGAGTGTTGTTGTGTGTGTGTGTGAGTGTTGTTGTGTGTGTGAGTGTTGTCGTGTGTGTGAGTGTTGTCGTGTGTGTGAGTGTTGTTGTGTGTGTGAGTGTTGTGTGTGTGAGTGTTGCTGTGTGTGATTGTTGTTGTGTGTGTGTGAGTGTTGTCGTGTGCCTCTGTTGTTGTGTGTTGTGTGTGTGAGTGTTGTCGTGTGCCTGTGTGTTGTTGTTGTGTGTGAGTGTTGTCGTGTGCCTGTGTGTTGTTGTGTGTGTGAGTGTTGTCGTGTGCCTGTGTGTTGTTGTGTGTGTGAGTGTTGTCGTGTGCCTGTGTGATGTTGTGTGTGTCAGTGTTGTCGTGTGCCTGTGTATTGTTGTTGTGTGTGAGTGTTGTCGTGTGCCTGTGTGTTGTTGTTGTGTGTCAGCGTTGTCGTGTGCCTGTGTGTTGTTGTGTGTGTGAGTGTTGTCGTGTGCCTGTGTGATGTTGTGTGTGCGAGTGTTGTCGTGTGCCTGTGTGTTGTTGTTTGTGTGTGAGTGTTGTCGTGTGCCTGTGTGATGTTGTTGTGCGTGAGTGTTGTCGTGTGCCTGTGTGTTGTTGTTGTGGTTGAGTGTTGTCGTGTGCCTGTGTGATGTTGTTGTGTGTGAGTGTTGTCGTGTGCCTGTGTGTTGTTGTGTGTGTGAGTGTTAGCGTGTGCCTGTGTGTTGTCGTGTGCGTGTGTGTTGTGTGTGTGTGTGAGTGCTGTTGTGTGTGTGAGTGTTGTCGTGTGCCTGTGTGATGTTGTGTGTGTGAGTGTTGTCGTGTGCCTGTGTGATGTTGTGTGTATGAGTGTTGTGTGCGTGAGTGTTGTGTGTGTGTGTGTGTGTGTGTTGTTGTTGTGTGATTACAAGGCATAGTGTAAATCAAATTTCCGATTTTCTTCAAACACATCTGATTTTTAAAAAGAACATCTAAAGTTTATGACATAACTGACTGTGTGTGTGTGTGTGTGTGTGTGTGTGTGTGTGTGTGTTATCATTCTGTACTTCCTGTATCTGTATTATTGTGTGTTATAATAAGTGTTTTATTGTGTTGCTCCTGCAGCTGAGGGCGATGATGGCTCCACAGCAGATCCTCAGTCCACAACAACTACACACACTACTGCAACACAAACAACAGGCTCTGATGCTACACCAGGTGAGACCAGAGAGACCAGAGACACCAGAGACCAGAGAGAGACAGACCAGAGAGAGAGAGACCAGGGAGAGAGATCGGAGAGAGACCAGAGACCAGAGAGAGAGACCGGAGAGAGACCAGAGAGAGACCGGAGAGAGACCAGAGAGAGACCAGAGAGAGATACCAGAGAGAGACCAGAGAGAGAGACCAGAGACCAGAGAGAGACCAGAGAGAGAGACCGGAGAGAGACCAGAGAGAGACCAGAGAGAGATACCAGAGAGAGACCAGAGAGAGAGACCAGAGACCAGAGAGAGACCAGAGACCAGAGAGAGACCAGAGACACCAGAGACCAGAGCAGAAAGAGACCAGAGAGAGACCAGAGAGAGACCAGAGAGAGGCCGGAGAGAGACCAGAGAGAGACCAGAGAGACCAGAGAGACCAGTGAAAGACCAGAGAGAGATCTCTATCATCTCATGTTGACTTGCTATTTTACATTTGACGTATTTTTGCAGCAACATTTGAAAGAGTTTTATAAGAAGCAGCAGCAGCAGATCCAGCTGCAGCTGCTGCGACAGCACCAGGGCAACACACTCAAGGACGTGAGTCTACACACTTCACACAACATGCAGCAATCATCTAAAGCACGGGTCTACAACCTTAGTCAATCCCAGAGCAGCTTTTATACAGAATAAGAGACAGTGAGCTACTGCTTTTAGCAGTCGCACTAAAAATCTGTAATAATTGCAACAAAACATGGAAAACACATGTAAAATATATATATATGTAACGGATATAAGGGTACTCGATCAAGATCATTTGTTAAATTCTAAATCCTTTGGAGAGCTACCTGAAAGGGGCTGGCGAGCTACTGGTTAGCTCTCAAGCCACAGGTTGGAGACCCCTGATCTAAAGTGACCAGAGAGGGACCAGAGAGAGAGTGGTATGTTGCTGTTGTGTTGCTGGTGTGTTGCTGTTGTGTTGCTGTTGTGTTGCTGGTGTGTGGTCTGACCTTGCTGGTGTGTTGTCTGACCTTGCTGGTGTGTTGCTGGTGTGTGGTCCTCAGGGCAGCAGTCCTCAGTGGGTGTTCCAGCAGCTCCTCCAGCTCCAGCAGCAGCACATGGTCCCAGTGCAGCGAGACCAGGCCCCAGTCCTTACACCAGGTGAGTCCCAGTATTCCCTCACACCAGGTCTGTCCCAGTCCTCACACCAGGTCTGTCCCAGTCCTCACACCAGGTCTGTCCCAGTCCTCACACCAGGTCTGTCCCAGTCCTCACACCAGGTCTGTCCCAGTCCTCACACCAGATCTGTCCCAGTCCTCACACCAGATCTGTCCCAGTCCTCACACCAGGTCTGTCCCAGTCCTCACACCAGATCTCCCAGTCCTCACACAGTCTGTCCCAGTCCTCACACCAGGTCTGTCCCAGTCCTCACACCAGGTCTGTCCAGTCCTCACCAGTGAGTCCCAGTCCTCACACCAGGTCTGTCCCAGTCCTCACACCAGGTCTGTCCCAGTCCTCACACCAGGTCTGTCCCAGTCCTCACACCAGGTCTGTCCCAGTCCTCACACCAGATCTGTCCCAGTCCTCACACCAGGTCTGTCCCAGTCCTCACACCAGGTCTGTCCCAGTCCTCACACCAGATCTGAAATGTACCATAAAAGAAGATAAGAGAACCCTTATTTATCCCACAGTGGGGAGAGAGAGACCAAAGAGAGACCAGAGAGACCAGCGAGAGATCAGAGATGGATCAGAGAGAGACTGGATAAAAAATCAGGGAGAACCCAGAGGAGACCAGATAGAGAGAGATACCAGGTGCAGACCAGAGAGACAAAGGGATCAGGGCGAGACCAGAGAGACCAGCGAGAGAGACCAGAGAGAGAGACTAGAGAGAGACCAGAGAGAGAGACCAGAGAGAGAGACCAGAGAGAGACCAGAGAGAGACCAGAGAGAGACCAGAGAGAGACCAGAGAGAGACTAGAGAGAGACCAGAGAGAGAGACCAGAGAGAGACCAGAAAGAGACCAGAGAGAGACCAGAGAGAGAGACCAGAGAGAGACCAGAGAGAGAGACCAATAATGTTGTGTTCATTTGTTGCAGAAATTCAGCAGATTTGGAAGGAGCTCTTGAGTGGAATCCCAGAATCTAAAGTCACTGAAACCGTCCCAGAGAAACACAGCAGTGGGCACAGGGCTCCAGAAACAGAGACTCAAAGGTACAATATGTTTGACCTCTCACATGTTTGAATGGACGGATGAAGATGATTTAGAAAGTGTTTTATACGTATTAGTATTAGATAGCAATATGGCCTACGTGCAGGACTGTACAAGGACTCTACAAGGACTCCATGTTATGACTATGATGTGACTGTCTCTTTGTGACACGTATGTCTTTCGATGTGTGACGTGACAATGACTATATAAACTGTGTACTGCCTTTATTCTGTCTGAGAGAGAGAAACAGAGTAAACCAGTGGAACTTGAGAGAAACTTAAATAAACTTCCAGAGTTTGGCACACCACGATCCGTCTCTGTCTGCTAAATCCTAACAGATTTGGTGGAGAATGCGCGGCTCGGTTTGTGCCATTCTCTGGATTGTTTTGAGGGAGCTTGCTCTGTTTCTTTTCCTCTGCGTGAGAGACCGGCATGCTGTGTCTGGGAGCGGAGATTCCAGCATGCTGGAAGAGCTGTTCCTGGATGCTTCTTGTCGCTTCTGTCACTTTTGTTTTTTAAATTGAATTTTTCGACGCGGAAAAGATGTTGGTCGACCTCTCGAACAGTCCGGACAAAGAATTAAGGTAAGCAGACACCTTTTTTAATATGTAAAGTCTGCATAATTGGATACTAGCTAAATTTTGAGCTGTCCCGGAGGTCTGTCCAAATCTCTCTAAATCAAATTTTCTTTATATAGTCATTGTCACGTCACACATCGAAAGACACACGTGTCACAAAGAGACAGTCACATCATAGTCATAACATGGAGTCCTTGTAGAGTCCTTGTACAGTCCTGCACGTAGGCCATATTGCTATCTAATACTAATACCACGATCCGTCTCTGTCTGCTAAATCCTAACATACGACTTAAAAAACCCAAAGACCACAACAACTGGAGCTGTTGCGACTGTAAAATAAACAAATGGGTTTGGCGTAATGAGTTTCACTTATGCGGCAATCTAAACTCATGACGTCGCCGAGTGGTCCTACTGCAGCGGAGACACGGAGAAAACCACAGAGAGGACCACAGAGAGGACCACAGAGAGGACCACAGAGAGGACCACAGAGAGAGGACCACAGAGAGGACCACAGAGAGGACCACAGAGAGGACCACAGAGAGGACCACAGAGAGGACCACAGAGAGAGGACCACAGAGAGAGGACCACAGAGAGGACCACAGAGAGGACCACAGAGAGGACCACAGAGAGGACCACAGAGAGGACCACAGAGAGAGGACCACAGAGAGGACCACAGAGAGGACCACAGAGAGGACCACAGAGAGGACCACAGAGAGGACCACAGAGAGGACCACAGAGAGGACCACAGAGAGAGGACCACAGAGAGAGGACCACAGAGAGGACCACAGAGAGGACCACAGAGAGGACCACAGAGAGGACCACAGAGAGAGGACCACAGAGAGGACCACAGAGAGGACCACAGAGAGAGGACCACAGAGAGAGGACCACAGAGAGGACCACAGAGAGGACCACAGAGAGAGGACCACAGAGAGGACCACAGAGAGGACCTCAGAGAGAGGACCACAGAGAGGACCACAGAGAGGACCACAGAGAGGACCTCAGAGAGGACCACAGAGAGGACCACAGAGAGGACCACAGAGAGGACCACAGAGAGGACCACAGAGAGGACCACAGAGAGGCCCACAGAGAGGACCACAGAGAGGACCACAGAGAGGACCACAGAGAGGACCACAGAGAGGTCCTCTCTCTGTGGTCCACAGAGAGGACCACAGAGAGGACCACAGAGAGGACCACAGAGAGGACCTCAGAGAGGACCACAGAGAGGACCACAGAGAGGACCACAGAGAGGACCACAGAGAGGCCCACAAAGAGGACCACAGAGAGGATCACAGAGAGGACCACAGAGAGGACCACAGAGAGAGGACCACAGAGAGAGGACCACAGAGAGGACCACAGAGAGGACCACAGAGAGGACCACAGAGAGGACCACAGAGAGGACCACAGAGAGAGGACCACAGAGAGGACCACAGAGAGGACCACAGAGAGAGGACCACAGAGAGGACCACAGAGAGGACCACAGAGAGAGGACCACAGAGAGGACCACAGAGAGAGGACCACAGAGAGGACCACAGAGAGGACCACAGAGAGAGGACCACAGAGAGGACCACAGAGAGGACCACAGAGAGGGTTGACAAAGAGCCGTCAGAGTTTCCTCCTCATGAGAACAATAGTTGTTTTAGTGATTACCGTCAGAGGCTTTTACTCTGTGTCAATGCTTTGCTCCTGAAAAGAAAACATTCTGTATTTTTTGGGAAACATCAAATGCGTTTCTCGCCTCTGACTGTTCTTTGTAGCCACGACGTCCCGCTGGGGATTCTACTTCGTTTGTTTCACCCTTTAAACTCTAAACTGCACGTCCTGAAATCAGAAATAATTAGTTTCCGCACGTCGCTGCCGTGTTGGATTAGAGCCGTGTCCTCAAGCTTTGTCCTGTAATCTGAATAAAGTCAGAATGTGTATTTTAACGAGTAATATTGAACCACATGTGTCCACTTTCACCTGACTTTGTCTCAGACGCCCATGTACACATGTCAACATTCAACTAGCCTGGTCTTACCACACCATAGTACACATTTCAATTCGTACTAAGGTCTGGATTTGCTCCATTGACTCCGTGAACAGGTGAGAGGGGCAACACACCCGAGTGTGTCACTAGCATTTAGCATTTAGCATAGCTTTACTATGTAGCCTAGCTTTAGCATTTAGCCTAGCTTTAGCATTTAGCCTAACTTTAGCCATCTCCTTTGCCACAAACGGAGCCCGTGGGGAGTAGCTCCACAATCTATTTCCAGCGATTACATTTGCTAAACATTCCTCTTTCTCCGGCTTCAATTTCTTGATAGAACCAGAACGGAATACTTTACTAACGCATTCTCCGCCAAACTACGACCTGCCAATTCAGCGCAAACTCTTGACGTCCCCAACGCCTCCCTACAACACCCGCCTCCCCCGCTCACTGATTGGCTGGATGGGATTCAACCAATGTAATTAATAGTTACTTAATGTAACTTAAGTTCTACGAATAGGTGCGTAGTCCCTTAGGACTTCGCTAGTGGGATATCACTCGTGACCCCCAGATCACGCGCCAGAGAGATCAAATAATTTGCTCCAATCACCAGCCACCTTCCTCTATAAATGCCCCTGCACAAGGCCGCACCCCCTCTTGAACTCTGCCAAGCCGGGCTGGCCTGATGGGCTCGTAGCTAAGGGACTACGCACCTATTCGTAGAACTTAAGTTACATTAAGTAACTATTAATTCTACGTCATGGTGCTACGTCCCTTAGGACTTCGCTAGTGGGACACAACGCGGAGGCCGTAGGAAAATGTACTCCCAGCAGGCCAGCGAAGGGTGATTGGAGCTCCGCCCGAGTAAGACCCTCACAACGTGAGGACTCAGGGCAGAAGAACAAGCGTGTTACGGGGCCACTCCTACCAAGGATACCCCCACGTAACACACGCCGTAGGTCATACGTAGTCACAGGACGCCTCTCCCAAGAGCTCCTGACGAGGACTACCAGACCGACCACACACACAATGTACCGCACCTGTAGGATGCCTCTCCCAAGAGCTCCTGCACCAGGGCGGAAATTAGACCGAAGGCCCCCCCTAAGGGGAGGGACCCAACGGTCTAACTCAATCCGCTGCACTCAGCACGGAATGGGCCACCGACCGGTCCGACACATCCGAAAGATAAGACCGGACGAAAGAGGAGGACGACGCCCAAGAAGCCGCACGGCAAACGTCCTTGACCGACGCCCCCCTGAGAAGGGCCGTAGAGGCCGCCATCCCACGCGTGGAATGCGACCTGAAACCCACCGGGGGGGCCAGACCCTGCGTCTGATACGCCCGTCGCACCGCCGTGGCGACCCAATGCGCCAGCCGCTGAGCCGACAGCGGGGCGCCCCTGTTCTTGGGGCCTAGACACACAAACAGCTGATCACCCGACCTGAGTGACGACGTCATGGCCAGGTAATGCCTCAGCATTCTGATAGGACACAGAAGGTGCTGCCGCTCCTCCTCGGGGGAGGCATGCGGCGGCGGGTGGAAAGCCCTAATCCTGATCACTCTCGACCTAAAGGCCGACGTGATGACCTTGGGGAGAAAAGCCGGATTGGGCCACAACTGCACCATGCCGTCGTCCTCTCCAAAGGACAGGCACGACGCATGGACGGAGAGCGCACACAAATCGCCCGCCCTTTTAGCAGACGCCAACGCCAGTAAGAGGGCCGTCTTAAAAGCGATACACTCGGGACTCGCCTCCGCCGCCGGTTCAAATGGCGAACCCGACAGCCCCCTAAGGACCACCCTGAGGTCCCAAACCGGAGGCGTTCTCTGGAGCGGGGGCCTCCTCCTGCGCGCCCCCCGCAGAAAACGTTTAACCAACGGGTGAGAGCGGGCTGTGAACCCCCCGAACCCGTCGTGACCCGAAGTAATGGCTGCCGCAAACACCGCCAAGGTAGCGACAGCCCTCCCCTTGTCGAAAAGCTCCTGTAGGAATCCCAGGACCCCCTCCAGCGGGCAACACCTGGGATCCCAGGAACGGGAATCGCACCAGACACTGAATAGCCTCCACCTCGTGGCGTAGGCCCTCACGGTGGACGGCGCCCTCGCTCCCTGAATAGTCTCCACCACCGCAGGGGGAAGACCCAGATCTACGAGGCTCCGCCTCTCAGCCTCCAAACCCAGAGCCTGCGGCCGATTATCGGACGTGAAAACAGGGCTCCTGCCCCCTGGACTAGAGCCCCCGGCTCGTCCGGGAGGGCCCAGGGCTCCATCACCGCCATGCCCCTCAGGAAGGGGAACCACCGGGCATGCGGACTGTCCGGAGCCACCAGAATCACCGATCTCCTCTCCTGTTCGATCCTCCGCAGCAGGACCGGCAGGAGACGCACCGGTGGGAAAGCGTACAACAGGCCGCCTGGCCATGGGTAATGAGCCAGAGCGTCCACGCCTAAAGGCGGCTCGTCCGCGGCCCTTAAGGCGAACCAGGACGGGCACTGTGCGTTCTCTGCACTGGCGAAAAGGTCGACTACTGGACGGCCGAACCTCCGCCAGATCTCCGCAGCTACCCGTGGGGCCAGGCCCCACTCGTCCTGGAGTGGGCCCCCCCTGGACATTCTGTCGGCTCCCACGTTCCGGACCCCCGGGACGTGGCGCGCCCTGAGAGACAGGAGGTGAAGCGCCGCCCACAGCAGCGTCACCGTCGCCATGCGATGGAGAGCGGGGGACCTGGTGCCCCCCTGCCTGTTCAGATAGGAGACCACTGTGGTGTTGTCTGAGCGCACCATCACGTGTCTCCCCTGCAGCTGAGGGGCAAAGTACAGCAGTACTCTGTGCACTGCCTCCATCTCCAGCAGGTTGATGTGACGGGCTGAGTCCGACCAGCAGCCTCCTACAGAGCTCTGACCGAGGACCCCGCCCCATCCTTCGAGCGACGCGTCCGTGAACACCTCGACGTGAGACACAGCGCAGGCCAGAGTCACTCCGTCCCGCAATAGACCCGGAGTGAGCCAGAACCTGATGTCCGATGCTGCCCCTTGGGGAACCCAGATCAGCCTCCCCCCGTCCCGGGAGGGGTGAAGCCTGAGGCGCGAGAACCACCTCTGAAAATTTCTCATGTGGAGCAGGCCTAGCCGCACCACAGCATGAGCCGCTGCCATCATTCCCAGCAGGGACCTGAGGCGCCGAGCGGGGACTCTGGGGCCCGCCAGAACCTCCCGGGCCAGACGGGTAATACTCATCCGTCTGTCCACGGACAATGCAGCACGGAATATCACAGAGTCTAGCTGCAGACCGAGGTAAACCATGCGTTGGGCTGGCTGCAGTTTGCTCTTCTCCCTGTTCACCACAAAGCCCAGACGCTGTATGTGGGACAGGACCCAGTGCGTGTGGCTCACGGCCACTCCCTGGATGGGGCCAGTATTAACCAATCGTCTATATAGGTTAATATTCTTACCCCCGCACGTCTGATCGGCTCCAGAGCTGCTTCCACACATTTGGAAAAGGTGCGAGGCGCGAGTGCGTACCCGAAGGGGAGACGGCAGTACTCGTAATTCCTCTCTCCCACTGCGAAGCGCAGAAACCTCCTGTGTTCTGGCACTATGGGCACGTGGAAGTATGCGTCTGTCAGGTCTATGGAAGTCATCCAGTCTCCTTCCCTGACACACTCGAGGAGCTGCCTTGTGGACAGCATCCGAAACTGCCGCTTGGAAATGCACTCGTTTAACACGCGCAGATCCAGAATGGGACGCACCCCGCCTGATTTCTTTGGCACTAAGAAGTAAGGGGAGTACAGCCCCCTGGTGGCGTCCTGCGGGTCTACCTCCACTGCTGCGCCTCGACTCAGCAGAGAGGAGACCTCCGCTTGCAGTGCCTCTGTCGATCCCCGTACCTGAGAGCGTACTGCCCGTACGCCTCGGAATGGTGGTGGCTTTCGGAAATATTGCAGCGCGTAACCTCTGCGCAGAGTTTTCTCCAGCCAAATATCTGTCAGTAGGCCCTGCTCCTTCCAGATGCTGTAGAAATCTGTGAGGGGCGGAACGGAAGTTGGAACACGAGACGTCACGGCCCCGCCCCCTCCTGGTGTTCCTAGCAGGGAGGGGGGGTGGCTGAAAGGGCCGGGGGGGCCCCTGCGTCACACCGTGAGCGCCGAGGGCGGTCACGTGTTCTGCAGGCCCGACGTCATAAGTACGGGACTGCTCACCACACGTGACTCGGCTGCTGTGCCCCCCCCTGGCTCTTGCCTCATGGAGGGGGGGGCGAGCCCCTGGAGCGGGAAACCCCGTGTTAGCCTTGTAGCTCTGCTCACCACACGTGACACGGCTGCTGTGCCCCCCCTCGGCTCTTGCCTCATGGAGGGGGGGATGAGCCCCTGCATTGGGAAACCCCGTGTTAGCCTTGTAGCTCAGAGATGCTAACACGCGTTCGGCTGGAGCACACACATTATCACTTACCAGATCCCTCCGCCTGCCCTCTCTCCGGGAGGGCAAAACATGAACCCGTGAATCGGAGCCCGTGGCCCGCTTAGCGCGCTGCACGCCCTTCTCTGGGGGCTGCAGGCCTAGCGGAGCCACGTTATATGCTCGAGAAGTAACACAATCAGAATTCAGATCATTTGACAAGTTACATACCCCCAAATGAGACTCAGACAGCGAGTACTGATGAAATGCCGGACGGCCTTTATTGAAAACATTTTTCCCACCCCGACCTCCTCTGCCATAGGGAGGTCGTCGGTGGGTGTGTTGGTCCCGCGAACCTCCCGTGTGCCTGTCTGGGCCCGGGGGTCTCGTCGCTGGGGAACGATGGACCACGGAGCGTGGATATGGTCCGGGGCGCTTGCCGGGCGAGCGCTCCCTGCCTCTGTCTCGGCTCCGCGCTGGTGGGCGGGCCTCGCGTCTCGCAGCTAGATGCTTGGCTAGGCTAGCAGAGTCCTTAGCTGCGGTGTCCAGCCTCGTCATCAGCGTCTGCATCTCCGGACCGAAGAGTGACGTTTGGGAGATGGGCAGGTCCAGCAGCTGCCTCTTCTCCGCCTCTCTGAGATTCACCGATCCCAGCCAGAGGTGTCTGGCCCCAACTTGTGCTGCTGCCATCGTGCGGCCGCCATCGACAGCTAGCGCTTGGCACATGCGCAAGATCGCCGCTGAAGTGGTCCTCGCCTGGGATAAGGTGTCTCCACTGAGTGCCTGGTCAGAGGAGAGAGACCTATCCAGGGCCCCGGTGATGAAGGCCATGTTGTTAGCCACCGCGACGACCTGGGCCGCATTGGCGTAACATCTGTCGTGCATCGCCAAAGACATCCTATCCCGCTCGGAGGGAAGGAGAGGTCTGGTGCTGGGCCACACGGATGTGGAGGGGTACAGGGCCGCCCGAACCGAGTCCTCGATGTCCGGGACCCCGCCGGTCCAGGACCAGTCCTGCACGTTACAGTACATGCCATACCCCAAAGCGGGCCTCTTGGCCGCTAGGGGCTTTGGCCACTCACGTGTCGCGTAATGGACGATCGGGTCCATACGCGGGCACAACGTGGGCTGGGCTCTCCTCCTCCCTCGAGGGGTGGCGTAACCAGAGGTGAAGTCCTCCACCCTCTGGTTCGGTTGCGGTGGCAGGGGGGCATCCATGATGGCCGCCGCCGTGGCGTAGAGCCCAGGCATGTGGTCCAGCGGGAAGCGGTCCGGCTCCGGGTTGGACACCACCTCGTCCAGCGTGAGGAGAGAGCCGACCTCCGACACCTCTCCGTCCTCGCAGTCACCCCACTCAGCGGGCACGGGTGGAAGGTCGAGGGGGGCCCAGTCAATCGCAGACTCCTCGTCCTGAGAGGGGTCCGGACGGGGCGCTGTAGCGGCGAAGAACGCGCGCCTGCGTTCACTCTCCTCCCTGGGGAGAGCGACACACGAGGCGCAGGTGGCGCTCAACGCCGCATGGCCCGAACCCAGGCACAGGAAGCAGCTGGAGTGCTGGTCCTTGCGCTGGAGCTTGACCCGACAAGTCAAGCAACGACGACGTCCGACGCCGGATGGCGAAGGGGAACTCGGACGAGCATCAGAAGACATCTTTCCTCAGGTAATTGAATGTAGATCTCAATCGGCGCCAGAGTGAAAGAGGGGGTGCGGCCTTGTGCAGGGGCATTTATAGAGGAAGGTGGCTGGTGATTGGAGCAAATTATTTGATCTCTCTGGCGCGTGACCTGGGGGTCACGAGTGATATCCCACTAGCGAAGTCCTAAGGGACGTAGCACCATGACGTAGAATTGCAAACATTAGACCCTGACGGTATATGCAGGGACATGATAATTGACCAGAGTTTACAGATGGCTAAGGCCAGGCTAACATCTACAATGTGTCAATCTTACTTCAAGCGGCAATAAAATAAATGTATGATCCTAAAATGTACCTCATAATTCTTTAAGACTATGTAGTTTATAGATCTAGATACGATAATCTCAGATGGACTCCAAACCATTTCAAGAAAAATCTATGCATTATTATTATCATTATTATTATTTAGGACATGTCATGTTGGAGGCTTTGTGAATGGAATAATGGTTGGGGATATACTACAATCAATCTCTATTTATAGATTATACATTATGCAAAAATAAATAAACACAGTAACTGCAGACTGTGCTGTGTGCCCCTCACTCCTACTCTTCTGTAACTGATGATACAACACTGACATTTCCTCACTGTGTCACTGTTGTCTCTGCGTGTTCTTCAGTTTGGTGAAAGCCGCTCTGTTCAGTCGCGGCGTTTGTCTGTGGCCCGGCTGCGAAGAGGTCTGTGAGGACTTCAGCCAATTCAGCAAGTGAGAAAATGTGTTTGATAAGTTTGGTCTGCACCATGTATTTAATTCACTGTACTTGTTTATCGCCATAATTCAATCTGAAGAGACTCGAAAAGACTAATCAGGGTTATTAGAGAAATGTATGTTGGAAATAATCTGACACTACATAAATTAGCATGTACGATGTTTGCAAGATTACGTTTAGACATACAGTACAAAAATGTGGTAAAGATTTTGCGCTTATACCCCGGCAGAGGAAATTAAGATTGAGATTAAATCGCTAGGAGATGAGGTAGGAGCTAAGAGAAGGGGAAAGAACTGGTCTGGCCAAAGAAGGGGTGATGGGGAGGAGGAGGGTTGCTGCATGAATGAAAGCCGCCTGTATGATGACGGACTGATGCTGTTGCCGTGCAGAGACTCGGGGAGGACTTGAGTGCAGTGATCTTAGTTTTTCTGTCTTCCAGAGTGATTTCACAACAGTCTTGGAGGACTTTACATAGTTGTCGATTCACCAACAACAGATAAAACAATCTAACAAATCTAAAACGCAAAATTCCATAAAAACAAACACGTAAGAGCCATTGGTCCATAGGGAGTGGGATGAACACTGGATCCTAACAGTCCTCAGACCCTCCTACGGGATATGATGGGAAAAGTTTATGTTTAAATACATTAAACATAATTTAGCAAAAACATAACTCGAATGTGCACTCAGAAAAAAATAACGTATTAACAGAATTAATGGAACATATACGTAAATATTGAACAGAAGAGGCCCCAGAATTGACCCCTGGGGCACCCCTTTCAACAATTTAAAGCACTGGAATACTATCCCCCTATTTGCATGCTAATAAACATGTTATGAATGAGTGTGTGTGTGTGTGTCTGTGTTGTGGTTGTGTGTGTGTGGGTATGTGTTGTGGTTGTGTGTTTGTGTGTGTTTTCTAATTCAGTCTTTTGTCGCAGACACATGGACAGCGATCACAGTCTGGACGATAAAACCACAGCTCAGTGCAGAGTCCAGCGGCAGGTGGTGCAACAGCTCCACCTACAGGTACAACCCACTCCAGACAGACTCACCCAGTGGCTCTGAGGGATGGGTCAAATGCAGAGGACACATTCACCCACGAGGACTTTACTAAGATGTTGAATAAAACAGCTCAAACTCAGGAAACGCAGTAATAAAAACACACAGAGCCATTTGCCATCATGGACATCGGTCTCTCCCATGGACCAAGACCATGTGTTCTAAAAATGCAGGTTTGTGAAAGATAGGAATAGAATAAAGTATTATGAGAGCTTGGATCATGGATTTTTTAACATGTTTATGAACCTGGAGCTTTCACAATGGTTCCAGAAACAGTACTTTATGGTTAAAATGTCACACTGTTTTACTAAATGTTTTTAGTCTTTAGTTTGATTGGTCTGAATGGTGTGTTTGCAGCTGTTTAAGGAGAAGAAGAGGCTCCAGGCCATGATGTCTCACCTGCGCTTACAGTCTGCAGAGGCTCCTCCACTGGACAGAAGAGCAGAACAGACAGCACAGGTACAGGAGGTACTAAAACACAGGTACAGACCAGAATCAAAGACCAGGCAGAACAGACAGCACAGGTACAGGAGGTACTAAAACACAGGTACAGACAGGAATCAAAGACCAGGCAGAACAGACAGCACAGGTACAGGAGGTACTAAAACACAGGTACAGACAGGAATCAAAGACCAGGCAGAACAGACAGCACAGGTACAGGAGGAACCAGAGCACAGGTACAGACAGGAACCAAAGACCAGGCAGAGCAGACAACACATTGGGATCATAAATAATCACAGTGCATTAAAAAGAGTAAAGATACAATCAGTATGAACAGCCAAACAAAACGGTTTTTAACCTGGATTTGAAGATTGTCAGAGAGGAAGCCTGTCTCACATTTTCAGGAAGAAAATTGTAGCTGCATAAATATGAAGCACTGCCTCCCCATGTTTAGTTCTGACTCTAGGCACCGGCAAAAGGCCAGTCCCTGTGCTCCTCAGAGTCCCAGCAGGAGGCCAGTCCCTGTGCTCCTCAGACCCAGCAGGAGGCCAGTCCCTGTGCTCCTCAGACCCAGCAGGAGTCCCAGTTGGTCCAAATGGCAGCCCTCCTGTGTGTGTGGTTTGGGATGCAGCCCCCCTCTGTGTGTGGTTTGGGATGCAGCCCTCCTCTGTGTGGTTTGGGATGCAGCCCCCCTCTGTGTGTGGTTTGGGATGCAACCCTCCTCTGTGTGTGGTTTGGGATGCAGCCCTCCTCTGTGTGTGGTTTGGGATGCAGCCCCCCTCTGTGTGTGGTTTGGGATGCAGCCCTCCTCTGTGTGTGGTTTGGGATGCAGCCCTCCTTTGTGTGTGGTTTGGGATGCAACCCTCCTCTGTGTGTGGTTTGGGATGCAACCCTCCTCTGTGTGTGGTTTGGGATGCAACCCTCCTCTGTGTGTGGTTTGGGATGCAGCCCTCCCTCAGATCCAGCTGCTCTGATGGGCCCATTATGTTTTCACTGAGACACGCTCTGTTTAACATACAAACTAATCATCTGTTAATCTCACAAATACGGCTCCGTAATCACAACATTCTCCAAACAATTTCACCCTTTAATTAGCTGTAATTGTCTTCTTCCTCCGCTGACTCCGGAGCGCCGGAATCCAGGAGCGGCTCCAATCCTTTAGCTTCAGTCTGTTACTTTGTCTGAGTCTCCAGTGTCTAAAGCCCTTTGTTAATGTGCTCATTTGCTTCTACATTTATTACTCAACAGTGAAGCAGACAGAAACTAAACAACCATAAATGAAAAGTTAATAAGGAGAGAGTCAGTAATCAGTCTAAGGTCAAAACTAAAGATTACAGCGGTTAGAACAAACACAGGTACAAATCTACACTGGACTAAAGCCACTGGTTTAACAGGAAGACGTCAGGAGGTCAATCCAAAGTAATGATATCGTCACATTCATTTCAATAAATACTCTGCTTCTGCTGGGACTCTGAGGATCACAGGGACTGGCCTCCTGCTGGGACTCTGAGGATCACAGGGACTGACCTCCTGCTGGGACTCTGAGGATCACAGGGACTGGCCTCCTGCTGGGACTCTGAGGAGCACTGGGACTGGCCTCCTGCTGGGACTCTGAGGATCACAGGGACCGGTCTCCTGCTGGGACTCTGAGGATCACAGGGACTGGCCTCCTGCTGGGACTCTGAGGAGCACTGGGACTGGCCTCCTGCTGGGACTCTGAGGATCACAGGGACCGGTCTCCTGCTGGGACTCTGAGGAGCACAGGGACTGGCCTCCTGCTGGGACTCTGAGGAGCACAGGGACTAACCTCCTGCTGGGACTCTGAGGAGCACAGGGACTGGCCTCCTGCTGGGACTCTGAGGAGCACAGGGACTAACCTCCTGCTGGGACTCTGAGGAGCACAGGGACTGGCCTCCTGCTGGGACTCTGAGGAGCACAGGGACTGGCCTCCTGCTGGGACTCTGAGGAGCACAGGGACTGGCCTCCTGCTGGGACTCTGAGGAGCACAGGGACTGGCCTCCTGCTGGGACTCTGAGGAGCACAGGGACCGGCCTCCTGCTGGGACTCTGAGGAGCACAAGGACTGGCCTCCTGCTGGGACTCTGAGGAGCACAGGGACTGGCCTCCTGCTGGGACTCTGAGGAGCACAGGGACCGGCCTCCTGCTGGGACTCTGAGGAGCACAGGGACCGGCCTCCTGCCGGTCCCAGAGTCAGGATCAGTGGGGGCGGGTCCCGGCTCAAAAGTGGCCAAAATGACGTGCGCTGACATGCTGCAGTACCACCCCGGGCCTGTGGGGGTGGACCCGGAATGAGAATTAGCCAATGCTAACATATAGCATCTTCTTACCTCTGGAAAACGTCTTTACAGGATGGCAGCGTCTCAGATGTATGCAGGTAAAATCTGGACAGTCTTCCTCAAAAATGACAATGTTCAGATCCAGGTTAAAAACAGTTTCGCTGCAACTGAAGGATTGTATCTTTTTTTAATTTCTTTTGTTTAACACGTTGACAAGCCTTGTGTATCAACTGTGCAATACAAATAAACTTGACTTCCATCACAACCAGGAAGCACAATTATGAATCAAAAGAAAAATATCCAAACTGTAAAATACGTACAACATTTTAATCTAAATCTAAGGGTTCAAAAAACTACTCAATTCATCAAGATGTAAATGTTGTATTTCTGTTTTTTGTTATTGACAAATGTTTAAAGAAAGTTGGATTGTATTGTTTCACAGGAACTTTCTCAAATTTCCTCAATTATTTTAGTCACGTGTTTATTGAATCCTACTGTGTTTATATCTTATTATTCCAATCCTTTTCCACTTTTTACCTTCTTTTGGTGAAGTTTTATCAAAATCCGTTACTGCGGCGTCGAGCTGGATCCAGAAAGGACCAGTGCAGGTTTTCAGTCCAACCACAAAGTCCAGTCTGGATCTGGATCTGAGTCTGGAGTGCTCCTGCTTGGCTGGAGTGAAAATCTGCAGCTGCACTGGTCCTTTCTGGAACCAGACCTGGTTTAGACCCTGCTTTAGACCCTGCTTTAGACCCTGGTTTAGACCCTGCTTTAGACCCTGGCTTAGACCCTGCTTTAGACCCTGCTTTAGACCCTGGCTTAGACCCTGCTTTAGACCCTGCTTTAGACCCTGCTTAAAGCCTAGCGTACATCGGACTGGCAACTGATTATATCCGTCGCATACGAGTTTCTGCCCCGCACACATCGACAATCTGACGAAAACGGGCAACTCCCAGTATCAGACCAGTCTCTGGAATAACAGCGCGTACATCGACAGCAACTGGCCTCAACTACAGTGTGTTTTCTGACATAAACTGTTGCGGGCTCGCAATACACGCAATACACACACACGTTGTCGGAGCGGCACATGGAGCGCGCACATCGGGTCATATCTCCGAAACTGAGGACAACTAGTTGCCGAAAAGTAGAACACGGGCAACTGACTGAAACTGGAGACCGACTGTTCATCTCCAGTTGTAAGAGCGCGCACATCGACCGATTTCGCCAACTGATCATCTCCCACCATCTCCTCTCAGTCGCCAAAAGCCGCCTTGCAACTAGTTGTCCCCAGTTTCTCTGTCCATGTACGCTAGGCTTTAGACCCTGCTTTAGACCCTGCTTAAGACCCTGCTTTAGACCCTGCTTTAGACCCTGCTTTAGACCCTGCTTTAGACCCTGGTTAAGACCCTGCTTTAGACCCTGCTTTAGACCCTGCTTTAGACCCTGGTTGTGTGTAACTAATGTGGACCTTCTTCTTAGATGGGTTCCATGCTGGTCTCTGAAAACTTCACATCCGTCAGTCTGGACCAGACCCTGGACCAAACCCTTGACCGAACCATGGACCAGACCCTGGACCGGACCTTGGAGAGGACTCTGGACCAGCACAGTGTCTCGTCTGAGAGCGAGGAGGAGCCCACAGACGGCCTGAGAACGGAGGCGATGCGACATCACCACCCCCTGGTCTTCTCTTTGTCTTCAGGTCAGAACAGACCAGACCAGACCAAACCAGACCAGAAAAGACCAGAGTCAGACCAGAAAAGACCAGAGTCAGAAAAGACCAGAGTCAGACCAGAACAGACCAGAACAGACCAGAACAGACCAGAACAGACCAGAACAGACCAGAACAGACCAGGACAGACCAGGACAGACCAGGACAGACCAGGACAGACCAGAACAGACAGACAGACCAGAGTCAGACGAGGTTTTCACTGAGACACAATGGTTTTTTAATTAAAGTGAAAAACTGTCAGAGAAGGAGCACAGACCATGTCATCAGCACAAATCTTAAATTGTCTGATTTTGTGATAATAAGCGTATAACTGAATATAGAGTTATTTAAGAAGTGGGTCAAGATGAGACGAAAACAAATCCACAATATTTCTTCTTGTGTGGACGCAGATTCTGACTGTACTTGGCTCAGACAGAATTATAAAACTGCAGCTGAATTTCAAAATGCTGATGATGCAAAAGTCCTGCATTTAATCAGAATAAATAAATAATGAAACTGATTTAAATGTTTGTTGATTTCTTTAAACTTTTGTCTAAATCTTGTCTGTGAACCAAGACAATGAAACAGTGTCATGTCCCATATTTACGTTTTAAATTATTTCAGCAGTTTTTTAGTGGTTCCTTTCTGACGCAGGAGGGTCTAAGGAGGAAGATGATCCAGGACATTTATTCACATTTATTAATATCTGTATCTATATCTATAATTTCTGGACAGTGCTCGTCTCGCTCCCTTTGTCTTTGTTATTATGGTTTTTAAGGCCACAAAGAGCAATGACCACAAACACAGACAATAATCTGTAATCTGAAACTTATGTAATGTCTTTCCATCTCCAATAATCTTTATGATAGAATTACTGCCAAACATGCAGACACATGGTATGAAGAAGAACTTTTTTTTTTTTTTTTACATTACAGTGAATGTAAAATTTAAAAATCAAGAATCAACAACAATCAATATTTATATAAACTCGATCTTTTTAACTGTTTTTCCAGAGAAAGAATACGAGCTGTACAAGAACACGGACATCAGACCTCCGTTCACCTACGCCACCCTCATCCGACAGGTATCAGTCACTCATGAGAGAGACCAGCAGCTAAAACATGTCTTACTGGTCCCTCTGTCTGCTAAACCATGTGTTACTGGTCCCTCCCCTCTGTCTGCTAAAACATGTCTTACTGGTCCCTCTGTCTGCTAAACCATGTGTTACTGGTCCCTCTCCTCTGTCTGGTAAACCATGTGTTACTGGTCCCTCCCCTCTGTCTGCTAAAACATGTCTTACTGGTCCCTCTGTCCTCTGCCTGGTAAACCATGTGTTACTGGTCCCTCTGTCCTCTGCCTGGTAAACCATGTGTTACTGGTCCCTCTGTCCTCTGCCTGGTAAACCATGTGTTACTGGTCCCTCTGTCCTCTGTCTGGTAAACCATGTGTTACTGGTCCCTCTGTCCTCTGTCTGGTAAACCATGTGTTACCGGTCCCTCCCCTCTATCTGGTAAACCATGTGTTACTGGTCCTTCTGTCCTCTGTCTGGTAAACCATGTGTTACTGGTCCCTCTCTCCTCTGTCTGGTAAACCATGTGTTACTGGTCCCTCTCTCCTCTGTCTGGTAAACCATGTGTTACTGGTCCCTCTGTCCTCTGCCTGGTAAACCATGTGTTACTGGTCCCTCTGTCCTCTGTCTGGTAAACCATGTGTTACTGGTCCCTCTGTCCTCTGCCTGGTAAACCATGTGTTACTGGTCCCTCTGTCTGGTAAACCATGTGTTACTGGTCCCTCTGTCCTCTGTCTGGTAAACCATGGGTTACCGGTCCCTCCCCTCTATCTGGTAAACCATGTGTTACTGGTCCCTCTGTCCTCTGCCTGGTAAGGCATGTGTTACTGGTCCCTCTGTCCTCTGCCTGGTAAACCATGTGTTACTGGTCCCTCTGTCCTCTGTCTGGTAAACCATGTGTTACTGGTCCCTCTGTCCTCTGTCTGGTAAACCATGTGTTACTGGTCCTCTGTCTTCAGGCGATCATGGAGGCCGCAGACATGCAGCTCACTCTGAACGAGATCTACAACTGGTTCACCGGGACTTTTGCTTATTTCAGACGCAACGCAGCAACATGGAAGGTACCAGAGAGAGAGAGAGATGGAGAGAGATGGAGAGAGAGAGAGAGATGGAGAGAGATGGAGAGAGGAGAGAGATGGAGAGAGATGGAGAGGAGAGAGATGGAGAGGAGAGATGGAGAGGCGAGATGGAGAGAGATGGAGAGAGGAGAGAGATGGAGAGAGATGGAGAGGAGAGAGATGGAGAGGAGAGATGGAGATGGGAGAGATGGAGAGAGATGGAGAGGAGAGAGAGAGAGAGATGGAGAGAGATGGAGAGAGGAGAGAGATGGAGAGAGATGGAGAGGAGAGAGATGGAGAGAGATGGAGAAAGGAGAGAGATGGAGAGAGATGGAGAGGAGAGATGGAGAGAGATGGAGAGGAGAGAGAGAGATGGATGGAGAGAGGAGAGAGATGGAGAGAGATGGAGAGGAGAGAGATGGAGAGGAGAGATGGAGAGGAGAGATGGAGAGAGATGGAGAGGAGAGAGAGAGAGAGATGGAGAGAGATGGAGAGAGGAGAGAGATGGAGAGAGATGGAGAGGAGAGAGATGGAGAGGAGAGATGGAGAGGAGAGATGGAGAGAGATGGAGAGGAGAGAGAGAGAGATGGAGAGAGATGGAGAGAGATGGAGAGGAGAGAGATGGAGAGGAGAGAGATGGAGAGGAGAGATGGAGAGGAGAGATGGAGAGAGATGGAGAGGAGAGAGAGAGAGAGATGGAGAGAGATGGAGAGAGATGGAGAGAGAGATGGAGAGCGATGGAGAGGAGAGAGATGGAGAGAGATGGAGATGGAGAAAGATGGAGAGAGATGGAGAGGAGAGAGATGGAGAGAGAGATGGAGATGGAGAAAGATGGAGAGAGATGGAGAGGAGAGAGATGGAGAGAGAGATGGAGAGGAGAGAGGGAGAGAGATGGAGAGAGAGATGGAGAGGAGAGAGATGGAGAGGAGAGAGATGGAGAGAGAGATGGAGATGGAGAAAGATGGAGAGAGATGGAGAGGAGAGAGATGGAGAGAGAGATGGAGAGGAGAGAGATGGAGAGAGATGGAGAGAGATGGAGAGGAGAGAGGGAGAGAGATGGACAGAGATGGAGAGAGATACGGAGAGAGAGATGGAGAGGAGAGAGGGAGAGAGAGAGATGGAGATGGAGAGAGATGGAGAGAGAGATGGAGAGAGATGGAGAGGAGAGAGGGAGAGAGAGAGATGGAGAGAGATGGAGAGAGAGATGGAGAGAGAGATGGAGAGGAGAGAGATGGAGAGAGAGATGGAGAGGAGAGAGATGGAGATGGAGAGAGATGGAGAGGAGAGAGATGGAGAGAGAGCTGGAGGAGAGAGATGGAGAGAGAGATGGAGGAGAGAGATGGAGAGGAGAGAGATGGAGATGGAGAGAGATGGAGAGGAGAGAGATGGAGAGAGATGGAGATGGAGAGAGATGGAGAGGAGAGAGAGAGAGAGATGGAGAGAGATGGAGAGGAGAGAGGGAGAGAGATGGAGAGAGATGGAGAGGAGAGAGGGAGAGAGAGATGGAGAGAGATGGAGAGAGATGGAGAGGAGAGAGATGGAGAGAGAGATGGAGAGGAGAGAGGGAGAGAGATGGAGAGGAGAGAGATGGAGAGGAGAGAGATGGAGAGAGAGATGGAGATGGAGAAAGATGGAGAGAGATGGAGAGGAGAGAGATGGAGAGAGAGATGGAGAGAGGAGAGAGATGGAGAGAGATGGAGATGGAGGAGATGGAGAGAGATGGAGATGGAGAGAGGGAGAGAGATGGACAGAGATGGAGAGAGAGACGGAGAGAGAGATGGAGAGGAGAGAGGGAGAGAGAGAGATGGAGATGGAGAGAGATGGAGAGAGAGATGGAGAGAGATGGAGAGGAGAGAGGGAGAGAGAGAGATGGAGAGAGAGATGGAGAGGAGAGAGATGGAGAGGAGAGAGATGGAGAGGAGAGAGATGGAGAGAGAGCTGGAGGAGAGAGATGGAGAGAGAGATGGAGGAGCGAGATGGAGAGGAGAGAGATGGAGATGGAGAGAGATGGAGAGGAGAGAGAGAGAGAGATGGAGAGAGATGGAGAGGAGAGAGATGGAGAGAGATGGAGAGGAGAGAGGGAGAGAGATGGAGAGGAGAGAGATGGAGAGGAGAGAGATGGAGAGAGAGATGGAGAGGAGAGAGATGAGAGAGATGGAGAGGAGAGAGATGGAGAGAGAGATGGAGAGGAGAGAGATGGAGAGAGATGAGAGAGAGATGGAGAGAGATGGAGAGAGAGATGCAGAGAGATGAAGAGAGAGATGGAGAGGAGAGAGATGGAGAGGAGAGAGATGAAGAGAGATGGAGGGGAGAGATGGAGAGAGATGGAGAAAGATGGAGAGATGGAGAGGAGAAATGGAGAGAGTGGAGGTGGTCCACAGAGTAACTCCTCGCACTGAGACACACACTGGCTTTAAGGTGGTCCACAGAGTCCCTCCTCGCACTGAGACACACACTGACTTTAAGGTGGTCCACAGAGTAACTCCTCGCACTGAGACACACACTGACTTTAAGGTGGTCCACAGAGTAACTCCCTGCACTGAGACACACACTGACTTTAAGGTGGTCCACAGAGTAACTCCCTGCACTGAGACACACACTGGCTTTAAGGTGGTCCACAGAGTCCCTCCTCGCACTGAGACACACACTGACTTTAAGGTGGTCCACAGAAGTAACTCCTCGCACTGAGACACACACTGACTTTAAGGTGGTCCACAGAGTCCCTCCTCGCACTGAGACACACACTGACTTTAAGGTGGTCCACAGAGTAACTCCCTGCACTGAGACACACACTGACTTTAAGGTGGTCCACAGAGTAACTCCTCGCACTGAGACACACACTGACTTTAAGGTGGTCCACAGAGTAACTCCTCACACTGAGACACACACTGACTTTAAGGTGGTCCACAGAGTAACTCCTCGCACTGAGACACACACTGACTTTAAGGTGGTCCACAGAGTAACTCCCTGCACTGAGACACACACTGACTTTAAGGTGGTCCACAGAGTCCCTCCTCGCACTGAGACACACACTGACTTTAAGGTGGTCCACAGAGTCCCTCCTCGCACTGAGACACACACTGACTTTAAGGTGGTCCACAGAGTCCCTCCTCGCACTGAGACACACACTGACTTTAAGGTGGTCCACAGAGTAACTCCCTGCACTGAGACACACACTGACTTTAAGGTGGTCCACAGAGTAACTCCTTGCACTGAGACACACACTGACTTTAAGGTGGTCCACAGAGTAACTCCCTGCACTGAGACACACACTGACGTTAAGGTGGTCCACAGAGTAACTCCTTGCACTGAGACACACACTGACTTTAAGGTGGTCCACAGAGTAACTCCTCACACTGAGACACACACTGACTTTAAGGTGGTCCACAGAGTAACTCCCTGCACTGAGACACACACTGACTTTAAGGTGGTCCACAGAGTCCCTCCTCGCACTGAGACACACACTGACTTTAAGGTGGTCCACAGAGTCCCTCCTCGCACTGAGACACACACTGACTTTAAGGTGGTCCACAGAGTAATTCCCTGCACTTAGACACACACTGACTTTAAGGTGGTCCACAGAGTCCCTCCTCGCACTGAGACACACACTGACTTTAAGGTGGTCCACAGAGTAACTCCCTGCACTGAGACACACACTGACTTTAAGGTGGTCCACAGAGTAACTCCCTGCACTGAGACACACACTGACTTTAAGGTGGTCCACAGAGTAACTCCCTGCACTGAGACACACACTGACTTTAAGGTGGTCCAGAGTAACTCCTCGCACTGAGACACACACTGGCTTTAAGGTGGTCCACAGAGTAACTCCCTGCACTGAGACACACACTGACTTTAAGGTGGTCCACAGAGTAACTCCCTGCACTGAGACACACACTGACTTTAAGGTGGTCCACAGAGTAACTCCTCGCACTGAGACACACACTGGCTTTAAGGTGGTCCACAGAGTAACTCCCTGCACTGAGACACACACTGACTTTAAGGTGGTCCACAGAGTAACTCCTCGCACTGAGACACACACTGGCTTTAAGGTGGTCCACAGAGTAACTCCTCGCACTGAGACACACACTGACTTTAAGGTGGTCCACAGAGTAACTCCTCGCACTGAGACACACACTGACGTTAAGGTGGTCCACAGAGTAACTCCTCGCACTGAGACACACACTGACTTTAAGGTGGTCCACAGAGTAACTCCCTGCACTGAGACACACACTGACTTTAAGGTGGTCCACAGAGTAACTCCTCGCACTGAGACACACACTGACTTTAAGGTGGTCCACAGAGTAACTCCTTGCACTGAGACACACACTGACTTCAAGGTCGTTCTAAATTTAGGAAAGTATGCATTTTTTTTCCTCTTTTGTGACTATGACGCGCGTCTCTGTCACGAAATAAGTACTGAACATTTGATCTACAAACTGATACCAGGGAAGGAGGCTGAAGGATTTATAACAGAACAGAATCCAGAGCCACACTTGCAGCCGCCGTCGCTAAAGTGTTTTCGGTTCAAGCATAAATCTCTGTTTCTGTTATTTCCTTGTCCTCAGAGATTTTGTTTTTGCAGATTTTAACACAATCTATTTTTCTAAAAACAAATCGTGTTTAAAGTGTGGTGTTAATTAATTATAACAAACTGTAATAATAATAATGTGAAAATCTAAATAATGTGAGATTTTATGGAAAACACCGACAGCTCGACCACAGACTTTTAAAACCGTAGATTAAGAGAGAAAAAAAATCTGTAATTTTTTAATAAAAAAATAGACCCCGAATGAACACGGCTCAAGAAGCAAATATTTGTATTTATGTATTGTGTTTATCTTGTAATTAATTTTCCAATGAACGCGACTGAAGAATCTATTTAACTTAACATATTAAAACTAAACCATTTCTTAAATATTATGAATTTCAATCCACTTTAATTTATTCAGCACATTTTTAAAAACAGGTTTCCAAAGTGCTGCACGTTAACGTATTTGACTGAGACCCACTTTTTGACTGGAGATTACCGGACAATAAAAACAGCTAGAAACAGACTATTTTTGCTGATGAAAGTCGACAATTTAGTCTTTCAGAATCTGGTTTCATATTTTACATAGTCTGAGGAAATAATATACTGTGCGTCTTGAGAATCAGTGAAAGCATCAAAAACGGCAGCAGTCCATGAGTTAAAAACAGAGGTTTGCCAGATCTACATTTATACAAATAAAACCAAAACATCAGTAGTAGAAGTAAAAACAGTTCAAATGTAATAAAATCAGTAAAATACTAGTTATCTGATTTAAAAATAAAAATAAATAAAAAAATAAACGAAGAGATAAAAACATACTTTTTAAGAATTTTGCCTTATCCTTAAACTATATTAATTTTTAAAATCAAACATGAAGAAACTTAATTTTCTATTTTGATTAATTGTATTTTTTTGTAATTAATCAAATGTATAATGTTGTCTTCTGCTTTCACTAATTATGTTTTAACATAATAAAAAATATGACTTAATTTAGCAGCTGCCGTATTAGTCGTAACAACAGTTTTAATATTACTTAAAAATAGACAATTTTATCTCAGTAAAAAGAGGGAAAATTCAAATAAGAGATTGTTTTAGTGTCAGATTTTTTCACAAATAATATTAAATGGAGATTAATTAAATGTATTAAAAACAATGAAAACAAATGAGATTTTAAAATGACCCAAAACAACAGAAATAAAACGAGACATTTCTCCATTAATACTTCCTTTGTTTTATAATTGTTATATATTTTAACACAGATTATTTACTTAATTGACCCAAACTCCTTCTTTTAATAGACTTTTTTGCCGGATTTTTTTTTTGCATCATACAATAACAATGTATTTATTTTCCCACAACTTTCTCAATATTAAGCACAGTTGTATCAAATGCACAGAATTTTATAATACGGTAGAAAGTCTCTAAATAAAATGTTTATAATTATATATTAGTCCAACAAAAGAGAGTCTTACTGTACCTGCAGCTCGGTCTCAGGCGCTGGTGTCTGTCTCTCTGTTTCTTGTGTCTTGTACCTCTCCCTCTCTCTCTCTCTCTCTCCCTCCCTCTCCCTCTCTCTCCCTCTCTCCCTCTCCCTCTCCCTCTCCCCCTCTCCCTCTCCCTCTCCCTCTCCCCCTCTCCCTCTCTCTCTCCCTCTCCCTCTCCCCCTCTCCCTCTCCCTCTCCCTCTCCCTCTCTCTCCCTCTCCCTCTCCCCTCCCCCTCTCCCTCTCCCTCTCCCTCTCCCCCTCTCCCTCTCTCTCTCCCTCTCTCCCTCTCTCCCTCTCTCCTCTCTCTCTCTCCCTCTCCCTCTCCCTCTCCCTCTCCCCCTCTCCCTCTCCCTCTCTCTCCCTCTCTCCTCTCTCTCTCCCTCTCTCTCCCTCTCCCTCTCCCTCTCCCTCTCCCTCTCCCTCTCCCTTTCCCCCTCTCCCTCTCCCTCTCCCTCTCCCTCTCCCTCTCTCTCTCCCTCTCCCTCTCTCTCTCCCTCTCTCCCTCTCTCTCTCTCTCTCTCCCTCTCCCTCTCCCCCTCTCCCTCTCCCTCTCCCTCTCCCTCTCCCTCTCCCTCTCCCTCTCCCTCTCCCTCTCCCTCTCCCTCTCCCTCTCCACCTCTCCCTCTCCCTCTCCCTCTCTCTCTCCCTCTCTCCCTCTCTCCCTCTCTCCCTCTCTCCCTCTCTCTCTCCCTCTCCCTCTCCCTCTCCCTTTCCCTCTGTCACTGTCGCTGGTCTCTATCCCGGTCTCTGTCCAGGTGTTTCTCTCTCTGTCTCTGGTCTATGGTCTCTGGTCTCTATCTCTGGTCTCTATCCCAGTCTATGGTCTTTATCTCTGGTCTCTATCCCAGTCTCTGTCCTGGTCTCTCTCTGTCTCTCTCTTTGTGTCTTTGTCCTGGTTCTGGCCTCAGTCTCGGTCTCGGTCTCGGTCTTGGTCCAGGTCTCAGTCTGAGTCTGAAGTGTGTGTGAGGCTCAGATCCCGGGTCTTTTACCTTTTGTGGGAGGAGCCTCCGTCACAGTCGCTCCATCCTCCGAGAAAACACTGATCCCTGATGTTTCCTCAGACTCTAAATATCCTCTCATTCATCTCCAATAACAAACATATTTAACACATTTAACAAATATATTTAACAAACATATTTAACATATTTAACAAACATATTTAACATATTTAACAAACATATTTAACATATTTTAACAGAGGTCTGTGGCCAAACTCCAGGTCTCTTCTTCGATTTATATTAGTGCAAAAGACATCTGTCGCTAAAGTGCCCAATTGTCCATCGCCCTAAATCTCAGCAGCAGTCCTCACTGAGGACTGAACAAAGTTGTTGATTCATCAAGAGATTAGAGAATCAAACAGTTAGAACCCAGGACAAGAGAGAGAGCTGGGTTTGACCACTGTCCACAAATGTTCCTTAACCCTCCTGCATCAGAAGGAACCAATCAGAGCCTCCTGCATCAGAAGGAACCAATCAGACCCTCCTGCATCAGAAGGAACCAATCAGACCCTCCTGCATCAGAAGGAACCAATCAGAGCCTCCTGCATCAGAAGGAACCAATCAGACCCTCCTGCATCAGAAAGAACCAATCAGAGCCTCCTGCATCAGAAGGAACCAATCAGAGCCTCCTGCATCAGAAAGAACCAATCAGAGCCTCCTGCATCAGAAGGAACCAATCAGAGCCTCCTGCATCAGAAAGAACCAATCAGAGCCTCCTGCATCAGAAGGAACCAATCAGAGCCTCCTGCATCAGAAAGAACCAATCAGAGCCTCCTGCATCAGAAGGAACCAATCAGAGCCTCCTGCATCAGAAAGAACCAATCAGAGCCTAGAGATCCCTGTGAGTCTCTTTGGGCTGAGCCAATTTGAGGCTTTTTTCACTTATTTTCATCACCTTTGCAGTGTAGGATGTTACCTTTTTTGATCGTTCTCTTTTTGAGTGAAAGGAACTAGTTTGATAAATGTACTTTCAGTTATGTTTTTATTTTCTACAGCGTTAAAGGGAGTCCTGGACAAAAGTTACTCGTAGTTACAGATAATAATGAAAACAGTTACACACATTCGTAAAATTACAGATTATAAAAACATTTTCATTTCAATGACAATACCTCAAGTGACTCAAAAAAAATACACATACCAACACACAGACACCAACACACAGAGACACAGACACACACAGAGACACACACACGCACACACATACACGTTTTTGTTACCTGGTGGGTCCCTTTGACAGGGCCGTTCAGAATGGGACCCATAGACATAATCTTTTTTTACTGGGACTACTTTAAGTAATACAAAACAGTCAATAGAAAACAAACTCTTTTAAAGGAATTTTATTTTAGATTTTTTTTTTCGAATTGCAGTGATTCTATTTTTGACATAGAATTTAATGCCACTCCATGTCCGATGTCTAAGGTCATCTGGTGAGGCATTAATGCAGGCCAGGCCAGGCAGTGAGACTTCCCAGGGACCTTTCCAGTCTGTATGAAAGGCGTCATGGTCTTCTCCACAGCCTTCACCTCAGATGCAGACCATGGCTTTCTCTAACGTTCTAGGGAGAGAAATAAAAATATATTAGCAATATACACTCCCAGGGTTAGGACCAAGCAGCCTGGCTGTAATCCCCCACCTGGTACACTTACCAGAAGGGGCACTACCACTACCATGGGGTGCATCTGGATGAATGGTTGAAGGTTCTCCGCTTGAAGTTTCTTTTAAAAAGTCCTTGAAAAAGTTGTCTACCAACAGCTAAATAGATTTCTTATAATCAACAACTCATTTGATATGTTTCAGTCCGGCTTTAGACCCCACCACAGCACTGAGACTGCCCTCGTCAAGGTTACAAATGATATCCGGCTGAACACTGACGCAGGCAAAGTCTCAATCCTAATCCTGTTCTAAGTGCTGCCTTTGACACTGTCGACCATGAGATCCTCTTACAGAGACTAGAGGACTGGGTTGGCGTCGCTGGCACCGCCCTAAGATGGTTTAGGTCTTACCTTGAGGACAGGAAGTACTTTGTGGAGATTGGAAACTGTGTCTCAGATCATATGGCCCTGACCTGTGGAGTACCACAGGGGTCGATCCTGGGACCTCTTCTGTTCAATCTCTACATGCTGCCGTTAGGTCAGTTAATACGCAGAAACAAAGTTTCCTATCATAACTATGCAGACGACACTCAGATCTATGTCTCACTGACTGCAGGAGAACATGGACCAGTGGACTCACTCCTTCACTGTATCCAACAGATCAGTGAGTGGATGCAAAACAACTTCCTTCAGCTAAACGCAGACAAAACTGAAATGATTGTCTTTGGTCCCCAGAAACAAAGAGAGAGCGTCATCTGTCACCTACAGTCTCTCTCCCTAAAACCTTCAAACAAGGTCAGAAATCTAGGGGTAATACTGGACTCAGACTTAAATTTTAATAGCCACATCAAATCAGTAACATCAGCAGCTTTTTACCATCTAAAAAACATTGCCAGGATCAAAAACATAGTGTCTAAAGCAGACTTGGAGATTCTTATCCATGCATTTGTCTCCAGTAGGTTAGACTACTGCAATGGCCTGCTCACAGGTCTGTCCAAACAGGCTGTAAAACAGCTGCAGTACATTCAAAATGCAGCAGCTCGAGTCCTGACTAGAACCAGGAAGTACGACCATATTAGTCCTGACTAGAACCAGGAAGTACGACCACATTAGTCCAGTTCTCAGGTCTCTGCACTGGCTTCCTGTGGCTCAGAGAATAGACTTTAAAACAGCTTTGCTTGTTACAAGTCTCTCCATGGCCTCGCACCAAAATATGTTAGTGACATGTTAGTCCCATATGAACCAGCCCGGACTCTGAGGAGCACAGGGACTGGACTCCTGTTAGTGCCCAGAGTCAGAACTAAACATGGGGAGGCTGCTTTTCAGATTCATGCTGCTAAAATCTGGAACAATCTTCCTAAAGATGTGAGACAGGCCTCCTCTCTGAAAATGTTTAAAACCAGGTTAAAAACGGTGCTGTTTAGCTGTGCTACAACTGAGGGATTTTATATTTTTATCTTTCGTTTTAATGTTCTGTGATAATTTATGATTTTAATGCTATCTTGTTCAGCACTTTGAGTTGCCTTGTGTATGAATTGTGCTATACAAATAAACTTGCCTTGCCTTGCCTTTTAGCCCGTCCGTTTGTGAGAGGATCTCTACTGCTCTCCCTGTCGCACAGAAAATAAAAATACAAGTGGCCTTTAGGGGAAAAAAATTATACATATTTTAATAATATCAAGAATTACCTTCAGGCTCAATTTGTATCTGGTCGAGGCTCTTTCCTTCGAATTCCGTCACTCTTCCCTGCTCCATGGCCATCAACACTTTGCTGATTTTGGCCAGCTCCAGTGTCCCCTCTGGTAGTCTGTAATATTGCCTGTGGATGCGAATGTCATGGCCGAGGAAGTTGGCTAGTATGTCCATCTCATTCTCTTTCATATTGACAACTGTAGACATAGTAGCTATGTGCTTTCTAAGTTTGGTTGAGGATAGCATCTCTGGATGCACCGCACCACATTCTTTGGCTACCTGGCGTAGGGAGTCTGATCCCCTGATGTGGGTGTCTGCGCCCGGGCGGGAAAAGAAGTATGGGTTATGGTCAGAGATGGAACAGGCCCTTCTGTTCTCCACCAGCACCTCCATCGAAGCAATCATTTCAGGAGTCAAAAGAACCGGCACTTTCCGACTTCTTTTCCCTTTAATTTCAATGCGTTGAAAATGCTGACACAGCTTTTTCTCAAGTTGGGACAGTCCCAGAGCAATGTCAGAATGGATCCCAGTCTTACTTCTTAAGGTAAAGGCTGTCAGTGGCATCTTTGAAACCTCACCTTCCCTTCTTCGATTGAAAATAATGACCTCACAAAGAGTCAAAACTGCCAGTTTAGACCAATGCTTAGACGTTGGCTCACTTATTAGGGTTTGCACATATTCAGGTCGACATACCTCAATGTGTGCATGCATGGCTCTAACGTCCTCAGTCAGAGGGAGCAGGTCCGGAGTGTTCCACTTGGCTTGCCGGAGGGTCTGTAGGGCAGCAGAAGAAACACAGACGTCCCACCTCTTCTCAAAAAGCAGCCGGCTTCGTTGGAGGTTTTTAATAAATAGTTAATCAACACAATGCTCCATTTTTGAGTCACATTCAAGAATATCTGCTTTCTGAGGCTATGGCCGAGTTTGAGGGCCAAGGATGGAGTCTTGTATTGATTTGTTTCCTCATCATATCCAGCCACAGACCTGACTGCATCAATCACATGGTTAAAGTTGGAAGGAATAAAGAAATCCTTAATTGTTTTCAGTTTCCCTGCGGTTTTTGCTTCGTTAATTAACCTACCGACTTCTCTCATTTTCTGCCTAATGTAATCATGCTTAGTCTTATCATGCCCGTGTTTTAAGTACAGGTGCTCTCCGAGTCTCAGAATCCCCTTTTCTGCTTTGACAACATCCGTGACCTCATCCTGATGCATTGCCCAAATTAAAGACCACAGCTTTTTGCTGATGCCCTCCGGTACAGGCTGGGCTAGGGAGCAGAGGGACTGGACCCTACTTCTACCTGGTTTAGCCTGGGCATCTTTCTGTGAAAGCCGGCACCTGGCCACATGCCTCCACAGCGACTTTCGCTTAAGCAATGCCCCACAGTCTATACAGTGCAAAAACTCACTGGATTTAACTGGGCAATTTGGCTGTTTAGCTGGGACTAAAGTTCCAATGCCGGCCTTTAAAACCTCAAAATTGTGCTCACGGTTTCCACTATTCCTGATCAAATCAAAGTGAAGTTTACGTGCTTTAGATTTCACAGGTAGAGCCAATGCTCTGGCTACGTCACTTTCATTTCCATGTTTTCTAGTCAAATGACGGGACATTTTGTGGCAGGACATTGAACAGTAGAGGCAGAAGTGTCTCTTGCTGTATACTCGCCCCCCATTTTTCTTCTTTTGCAGCTGCATGATAACAATCTTATTTGCCTTTGGTTCGTCACTTTCCGAGTCTTGAAGAAAAGTGTTTTTGATTTTTCTTTTTCCATACTTTTTTACAGGTTTCTTCTTGACAGTTAAATCGTCAGAATCTGAGTCGACTTCATCAATTAGGGACTCTTGACTAAGCTGCACAAACAACAAATAATTTGTAATCATTCTATATAACAATTTGAAGTCATGACTTGTAGTCAGCACTTACCAGTGGTTTGTAAGCGTGCGCTTCAGTGTGCTCCTCCATGATTGGCTCCAGCCTCTGTTGTGCTGCTCCATGATTGGCTCCAGCCTCTGTTGTGCTGCTCCATGATTGGCTCCAGCCTGCTGGACTGAAATTGCCCCAGTGTGCCCCTCCTTGATATCCCGCAACCCACCACCAGGGTTCCGACACATAACACTCTTTTTTCAGGAAAGTAAACCTCCAGGGGTCCTTTCCATATTTTTACAGAGACTGCATAAGGACCGTTAGAAAAGCATTACCCATTGATTATTAAGCTTGGACCAGTGGGGTCCGGTGTTCGGGCCCCACCACGTAAAACCAGTCCCCATGACGTGAGTGGAATCTCAGGTTATGGAACCCACCAGGAGTTGAAAACAAGTGCAGAGACACAGACACCACACCACAAAGACACAGACACTCAGACACACACAGACTCACACACACACACACACACACACACACACTCAGACACACACACACACAGACACACACACACACACACACACACACACACACACACACACACACACAGACACACACACACACACACTCAGACACACACACACACAGACTCACACACACACACACTTGGACGTTCATGCAGTTTCATG